CCCGGATTCTTTCAAAATACCTTTCAAGAGCCGCAATCTGATTATGTCCCTGGTTTTTAGGTTCTTAAATTCATAATTTATCAATGTAGCCAAAAAAGAATCAATGATGAAACATAATAGTAAAAAAATCTGGGGAAATTTGTATACAATGTTAAATTCTAATTAGTAAGTTAGATTACAAGTCTTGTCTGACAGCTCTAGTAAAGAATTTTTCATAATCTTAATCGAAATTAGCTATTGGATATCGTTAACTCATATTATTTTCATCACTTTCAAAAATCGATAACCCAAACGATTTCCTGGAACGATTTCCATTGGGATATTTGGGTGGATGGACCCAGCTCTTGAGAGGATTCGATCGTGGGAAAATTCCGCACCTTTAACTCTTTCTTTTAAAACTCTTCCAATAGTCTCCAATCCCACGGCAATTTTTGCTCACTTTTTATTCAAATCCCTATTTGCAGGGGGTATTTTGAATGTTTCAAGAATTTCTCTTTTCCTCTTCTTTTTTTCCGATTTGACAAGTGACATCCCGTCTTTTTCTCCCCTAAAAACGGCTAAGAATTTCACATTTCACAAAGATCGAATGTCATTTTTGGCAAACTTTATCTTTTTCAAGGTTCATTTCGAAGAATTGTTTTGTGATTTTTATTTTGAAAGATCAAAATTGATCAAAATTGATTAGAATTGATTAAAATTGATTAAAATTGATTAAAATTGATCAAAATTGATTAAAATTGATCAAAAGTGATCAAAATTGATTGAAAATTGATCAAAATTGATCAAAATTCATTAGGAAATATCATTTAGGGTAATTTTGAACAATATTGAATAAACAAAATCCTTGTTTAAGTAAAATATAGTCCAGTATCCATAACAATAAATGATCCATGTCTAAAGCTATCTAATTTCTAGATTTCTAGATGTCTAGATTTTTAGCTTACAAAGCAATCAGTCTAAATAGATTTCTATTAGCTTCAGAAGTTTTGCTGGCTTGAGTTCAATGCTGGCTTGTTTTTCACTGCTGGATTTGTAATCAGTTCTTTTTCAAACTATGTCATATTATCAGAAGCTTTATAAGCTTTATAAGACTCGAAAGCTTGTAGAATATTCTTAAATGATCATAATTTTTGCATATCTCGTTCCTTCTCTCCCATTCGTTCACCGATTGTTGATTATCCCCCGGGGATCGATCCGTCCAATCCACCCACATCTTTTCCTCCTTTTCCCCCCAACTTTTTGCCCATCTTCAGCAGCCATTTTGCACTCAATTACACCCTTTTCCCCCCATTTCACCTTTGAATTGAAAAAAAGAAGAATAAACTTTGAAATTTCTCTCCTAGAAAACTTTCTAGACATTTTTTAGAAGAATGCTTTCAAGTGGGAAAAGCTAATTGCTAATTTTGACTGGTTTTTTGGGTAAAACTTGGTTTTTTCTTTTGCTTTGATGGTTGATTTGAAAGATTTTCATCAGCCGTTTGAGCTTTCGATTCCACAAGTTCTTTATTTGAAAATTTCTGGATTCTAGATCAATTAGCCGCTTAAAATTGGGGTGACTCACGGGGAAATCTACTTAAAAAGATAATCGTGAACGTGAAAAAGCTAATATTTTCTTCAACCTTGATTTTTAGCCAAAACTAGCCTCTGTTTTCTCATTAAAGTTATGATTTAAATCGAAATTAAAATTTTCCCGCCATTTTATATGTTAAGCCGCTTAAAATTGGGGTGACTCAATGGGGAAATCTACTTAAAAAAGATAATCGTAAACGTGAAAAAGCTAATATTTTCTTAAATCCTTGATTTTCTTTACAAAATCATTGAATCTTTATCTTTTGGAGATCGATTTTCACGATTTTTCTATGCTTTTTATGCGATTTTTGCTAATTATTGCCCATTTTTCTCTAGGAGAAGAGCAGCTGATTTTCGAGGAAAAAAAAGAGAGAAATCTTATTGAATCAAAAAAACAAAAATCATTCACGCCACCCACATTTCCGAAAACAGATTTCTGTAGAAAAAAAGCAAGGCAAATGTGGGGCTGAGCTCGAGAAAATCTCGTGTTTTCAACTAACATTTGTGTACTCTTCAATCTACTCAATATTTGCAAATGGCCTGCACCGGGAGCATCTCCTATAGCAGTTTGAGGCAAAATGGGTAAGTTTAGGAAAAGAATTTGATTTGAAAACTTGAAAACTTCCAAAATGAACCTCTACAAAAAAAATGTTGTACCTCACTCGCATGCTTCTCATTTTTTTTTTGTTATCTAAATGCAAAAATTTCTTGGCACTCTTCTAGACAATTTATGAGCTTAATTGCTCGAAAAACTTATAGACAAATTATAGAAAAGATGATAGAAAAGATGATAGAAAAAGATACCGTATTTCTTCGAATAGAAGACCGGGTAAAGAGTATGATCGCGTACTCCTGCGTAGCAGCCCTTTTTAAAATTTCTTTTCTGCATAAAAGCTTTCAATCAAGTGCTATAGAGCTGGAAAATGGCTCAAAAATACCACATGAGCTAACAGATTTTTGAGCCATTTTCCAGCCCTATAGCACTCGATTGAAAGCTTTTATGCAGAAAAGAAATTTTAAAAAGGGCTGCTACGCAGGAGTACGCGATGATACTCTTTACCCGGTCTTCTATTCGAAGAAATACGGTAGATAGATATAAATAAAAGAAATACTCTTCAAGTCCGGCAAAGATTTCCCTCAAAATGCTTTCTCGTGCTCATTCAAGTCTCCTTATTGGCTCGTATCTATTATTCTCAACCTTATTCTCAACAAAAGTACATTCATTTTCTCAGCTTTTTACTAGCCAAAAGTTATAGCAATGTTTTCTAGAAAATAATCTGTCTTGTTAACAGTTTTAAAGCTCCTAAAGCTAAAGATAGACAGAAGGGTTTTGATTGAATTTGAAGTTAAAAGAAGGAAGCTAAAAGGACGATTGAATTTGAACCCAAAAGAACGTAAACTTCTGTTATTATCTGTTTACTAAATGGCGATATTATTACCGTAGCTTTTATCGTTGCTGTTTGTTATGCTAAGCAATCCGTCGTTCTTCTCATTCTCTCTTAAATCCCCCAATTTCACAAGCCTCGTAAAGTCCAATCAGAACGGGGTCCCATCTTTTCCCGAATCTTTTTCAAAAACGAGATCACGGCACTGATGAATCGCTTATCACTTCAAAAGTGAGAAAAGAGGGAAAGTGCTGTGAAAAGCCTTAAAAACTCCTCAAGGAAATGGATTCTCTAGGTGTGAAGACTCCTTTTCCCCCTTTTCCCCAACTCTTAAACATCATCACCTCATCAATAACTCATCGCAAATCCTCACTTTCCTCTTCAAACGAAAAATCTCTCCGTAAATCTTCTCATAATCTTTATCCTTTTTTTTTCTCTTCACCAATGCGTTCTCATCGACAGTCCATTCCACAATTTTTGGGGATTCAGTGAGTAATCGAGAAAATTGTGTGAAATTATGAAATTAATTGAAAATATGTGAAATGTATCAGAAAATTGTTGAATTAGGTGACAAGCTAAAAGCTAAAAGACAAGCTAAAAGCAAATCCGAATACTAGAAATGACTGACGAGTGGAAAAGTGACCTATGGACTTGATGATAACATTAAAAACATTAAAAACATTATGATATTTCAAATTTAACGTTTTGTAGTTAAGCGAAATAGGCTTAAGTCAAAAATACTCAACGGATTCGTCTTTGCCATTCCAGAGAACTCCTTATTTTTCAATCCAATTGAGGTTCAAAGCGTTCAACGATATTCAGTCAAGAAAAGACTCTCAAATTCTTTTCTATTGTGTTATTCTTATTCTTATTTTGAAGAAAAAAAACGAAAAAGTTCCCTCTCTAAGCAATCAGAAGCAATCAGAAGGCTTTTCAAAAGGATTTTCGTCTCGAAACTTTGCTGAGAACGCTTCACTGGATTTTTGCGAGAAAAGAGAAAGAGAGAAGAGATTTCCTGAAGATTTCTTAAAAGTTAAAGCAAAAAGAGAGCTCGAATCGAACATGGAAAAGAAAGCAAAAACATTTTTGAGGTTTTCACAACGTTTTGGCCTGGGAGAACTTTTTGACGGAGGAAAGAAGAGAGGAGAACAGGTGAACTTCCTGTTTGGCAATTGCTTTGGATAAAGCAAAGGTGAAATTTCGACGATTTCGACGAAGAGAATTCAAAGAAAGGAAAAAGGACTCTCTCGAATCTCAATCTCAATTTATTCGCTGAGGAAATCTTCCGTGGATTCGTGAAAACACAATTGATTCTACTACTCGATTCAAAACATTTCTTGGCTTTATTCTTGGCTTTCCAAACGTATTCAACTTATTATTCTACTATTATTCTTACTTCTCTTACTGTTCTTTTGGTTTTTACTTTTCTATTCTGATTTTTGAATCGTTTATGAACGTTTATGTACGTAAAATGATTGGATTTTCATTGGCTAAAGGCTATTTTTCAAGCTAAGCTCAAGAAGGACAAAGTATTGCTGAAATTAATCGTGCAACTTCAAGTCGTACAGCTTCAAGCCATCAAATCTCTATTTCTTTCTCGATTCCAGGTGGTTTTCCTTTTCCACTTTCTCACATAAAAGCAGAAAAAAGACCGCTGTTCTTTTTTCGGCTTTTCGTCTCACTTTTCCTTCAAAAACATTTGAGTTGTGGGTGACGAGGGCCTGACAACTTCTCTCACCTAACTGGAATCACTTCAAAGCAATCACAAAAAGATTTGGATCAATCAATTCTAGATATTAACAAAGATATTCAGCTATTCGCCTATTCAGCTATTCTGAGCTCATTTCTCTGTGTAAACAATAGGAACAATAGCGGAAATTTGAGCCTCAACCATTCGGCCCAAGTTCGATCCGTTTTTTTGGGCGGCAAAACGCAAATTCTATCAGCCATTCGGCCCAAGTTCGATCCATTTTTCTATTCTATTCAACTAACTATTCCAGAAATTCGTTGAGTATTTGTTTTAAGCTTTAAGCTTTTTTCACAAAAATGGCGATCGCCATCTCGCAAGCGGTTTTGCAACACCGTTCCTCGGTCGCTTTTCCCCTCCCGTCAGCTCCCGAGATTCACATGAGATTTAAACGTTTCAGGGTCACCGGAAACATGATCAGCGGGTGAGTACGAGGATTTCAACCGGCAATTTTTGTTCCAATTCAATCAATGCAAAAGCGATTTCCTTTCCCCAAACTTTGCGATTGGGTTCTTCGAGTTGGAAAGGAGTTTTAGCCATCGATTTTTTGACAAAAAATTACTTGTGACCAAGGTCAATGCGAAAATGATTTCTTTTCTCAAACATTTTCTCAAAAACATCAAAATTCAAACTCAAATCCTCTTAAGAACCCAATCTTCTCACACACTTTTTCCTCTTTGCACAACTTTTGACACAATCTATCAAAAATATTTCCTTTCACACGATCTGGAACAGGTAATTTTATCTTTAAAAAAAGTCACACATTTATATGAATATTTTGTGAATCTGGAATCAATTTGTGGCAAAAATGTTGCTCCAAATCGATCCCAGATGGGTAGAGCTTAGAAAAGAAAGAAAGAAAGAAAGAAAAGAACAAAATCGATTTTCTGAATCATAAGAATTTCTTCTTGATGATCGAGATTTCTAGCGCGGCTCAGCAGCACAAAAAGCGGCTGATCCCGTTGCGGAGAACCGATGCAATGGCGCATGCGGAAAGGAAAAACGCGAAACAATTGGATGAGGTGTGGAAAAGTGGAGGAGCTGATGTTTTTCAGGTGAGTGAAGAGAGAAATCGGTTTTGTCTTGGTTTAGAATCATTTTTGGGCTTTCAAAAATTCAGTCCAGGTCACATAAATCTTCTAGTTAAAAGCCGAAAAATTTAACGAAAAAAATGATTTTGATGAAAAAAGCAAAATAAAGTCGAGAACCGGAATTGATCAAAGACTCGTGGCGGACCACCAGTAGCCCGACGCACTACCCACTAGGCCATCCAGTCACATCTTACTGGGCACAAGAAAGACCTCTTAGCATCTTGCTACCGTGAATTCTCTAATAGGCCATTCCCATGACCGCGTACAGTCGCGTAGTCTAACTTTGAAGGTCCCGTTCTCCGCACTGCTTAAAGCTACAATGTGCATTTTGGTGTCAAATGATAGCCCTTGAAATCTAGTATTTTTTGATACCAAAAGAATAGTTGGAAAAAATCTAGGAGCTGAGAAAAAAAAGATTCTCTTAAGAGGAGCTGGGCTAATTTTAGTTTTTCAAATTTCAAACTACTCAACGGTACGAGTGGGTGGCGTTCTATTAGAGTATTTAGAGTTATTATAAATCGTTCAACAAAACCATCCAGCCAATTTTTCTCTTTAGGTGATCGCTCCCGGTGGAGTTGGCGCCGATGGAGAGCCGATGTTCTTGAGGCTGAACATTGGGGGAGCCAAGTGAGTTCGCGAAGAGATTAAAAGGCTTTTTAAACCCTTTACAACAATGTCTTTAGATACATGATCTTGGTGGACGCGTTGATGCGAGCGGAGAACACGACATTTCTCGCGAAATTCATTCAACTCACGCACCCATCGCGATTGAAAGTCGCCGACGCGTATATCGCTTCAGATGATGCGTATTTCTTTCAACGAAGTCCCATTGCCTTTGAGGCTATTTATCAAGTGAGGATTTGTACTTTTTTCATTGCTTTAAGCTTTTTCAATGATTCTTATCTTCAGTATTATGCCACTGGAGTGGTCCATCGACCATCGGAGGTTTGCCCGGCCTCGTTTCTCTCGGAAATGGATTTCTGGCGGATATCGCATCAACACGTCGGGTCATGTTGTGCAGATGTTGTGCCAAGAGAAAAAGTTGAAGAGAAAGAGGAAGAAAAAGTGAGTTGTGAGCAATAATTTCATCAAGCAATAATGTCCATTCCAGGTTGATGATCACACCTTTGACAATTTGATGTGGGGAAAGTTGAGGCGAAGGATGTGGACTTTTCTGGAGCGACCGGGCAGCTCGATGCAAGCAAAAGCTTTCGAGCTCTCATCAACACTTTTTGTGCTGATTTCAGTGATGGGATTGTCGTTTGGAACAATTCCCGAAATGCAGGTATTTGCTGATTCTATTCTATTCTCCTGATTCTATTCTCCATTCTTCATGGAGAATATATGTTATGTTCGATCTAGATTGATTCTAGATAGGAGGTCCGATCTAGAGTGAAGTGAGGTCTAGATCTAGAATGTTCCGCTCTAGAATCAAGCCGGCCACTCTAAATCAAACATCCAATCCAGACTTAGATTTAGAGTGATCGGCTTGATTCTAGAGCGGACGATTCTAGATCTAGACCTCACTTCACTCTCGATCGATCGTCCGCTCCAGAATCAGTCTAGATTAGACATAACATATACATATTTTCACAGGTTACCCACTACATGCCACCGCACAATGAGACGGTTTTGTTACCGAACGGGACAGTGACAGTGATTGAGAAAGTTGAAGAGATGAAAGTCGAACATCCGGCTTTTGTTTTCACTGAGAGGATATGCATCGCTTTCTTCACCGTTGAATATTGTTTAAGGTAAAGGATTGAGTACATTTGACTTAAAAACAACTATAGAGTCACGCGTTCTTTGCATAAGCCACTTTAGTTTTAAGTTTTTCCCAGCGTGTGACTGAAAATGAGCCTTTGTTTGCTCGACAATATTTAATTTTTTTGATTGACTGATCTACAAATACCAAAAAAGTTTCAAGATCTGTCTTTTTTAGATTATTCGCCGCACCTCGAAAATTGCGTTTCGCTTTGAAACCTTTGAATCTCGTCGATCTTTTAGCAATTGTTCCATTTTATTTGGAATTATTGTTGACACTTTGTGGTGTGGACGACAAGAAACTCCGAGATCTCCGATGGGCTTTCCTCGTCGTTCGAATTTTGAGAGTAACCGATGAAAATTTGATCAGTATTTACGCGTTTTAGGTGTTGCGGGTGATTCGAATCATCAAATTGGGTCGTTTCTCGTCGGGTTTACAAACGTTCGGCCTCACGCTGCAACGATCACAAAAACAGCTGCAGATGATGACAATTGTGCTGTTGACTGGAGTGGTTTTCTTTTCGACAATGATCTATTTCTTGGAGAAAGATGAAGGTAAGGGGAAACACGGAGGGCAAGCTTTGGTTACAGCTTCTGAAAGCAATATCTTTAAAATTACAATTTAAAGCTAGTGCTGGATTGATTCACTTCGATAAAGTCTAAGATTATTGAGCTTTTTGAGCTTTACATATGTGTACGAATCCAGTTATCGGACATGATCAGTGTGCCGCCCCTTTTCCCATTAGCAATCTAACTTTGAGCTCAAATTTCTTGGTGCTGAGCTGTTCAATTTAGATATTCTTGGTATCATTAGATTTGCCAATTCTTTCTCTATCGATTGGTATAAAAAGTATTTAAATTGGTCAAGCCAATGTCAAGAAATTTGAGCTGAAAGTTAGATTGCTAATGGGAAAAGAGGCGGGGCGCGTATAAAAGGTCCGTCAGCCCGCCCCCTTTGCCATTGGGAATCCAACTTTCAGCTCAAATTTATTGGTATTTGGCTGTTCGATTTAAATAGTTTTTCTATCAATCGATAGAGAAAGATTTAGCGCATCTAATGATACCAAGAATATTGAAATTGCACAGTCCAACACCAAGAAATTTGAGCTGAAAGTTAGATTGCTAATGGGAAAAGGGGCGGGACTTGGATCAAATGTTTCACAATGTACCACAATGATCTACGAATCCTAAGCTCAATCTAAGCTCAATCTAAACTCAATCTAAGCTCAATCCAAAGCTTAATCTTTATTTTCCAGACGGAACTCCATTCACTTCAATACCAGCCGCTTATTGGTGGTGTATCGTGACAATGACGACTGTTGGTATGTAGGAAATTCACGAAATCAAGCAAAAATTTTCAATTTTAGGCTATGGCGATGCTGTGCCGGCGACAACTAGTAAGTGTTTTCTGAACGACCAAGAAAATTTGAGATTTTGACGACGTCAAAGAGCTTTGAACCAGTCAAGCGTTAAATCTCGCCACGAAGAACCAAAAATTAAGCAGAAAAATGGAGAAACTTCTAGATTTCATTTCTAGTTTTGATAGATGGATAAATGATAGATAAATTTGTAGAAATATCGAATAAACAAAGCATTTAGTGGGTAAAATCATCGCCTCAGCGGCGATTATGTGCGGTGTGTTGGTGCTGGCGTTGCCGATTACGATCATCGTCGACAATTTCATCAAAGTGGCACAGGTTTGTGGGATTTGAATAAGAGACTTATGGAGATTTTGTTCATTTTTTTTTGTTTTACATTTAAATTTATAGAATTTATAGAATTTACATGTTTTAAGGAAAGTTACACGAAGATAACTTCCTGATTTAAGCATGAAAGATCTTTGTATTGGGTTGATGGAAAAGTCCTTTCCGATTTTTTGGGAGAGTAGCTTAAATTTGTCCCATTTTGACGTTTTATAGCTCATCCTAAAGCTGAATTCAAGACGGATCGATTGGTAAAAACCGTTTTGAGATATCTCTTTTCTAAAAGTTTTTACAGCTATTTTAGTAAAGGGCGGCAGAGCCAAAAAATGGCTGTTTTCACGTTTCGTTAGTTTTCACACTTCACATTCACGTAGAGATACCAGGCGATTTTCCTGGGTTGATTCCGGTTCCTTACTCCTTACTGAAACAAGAAAACGAAGGAAAATCGCGAAAAGCGACGGAAAGGCTATTGATCTGAGGGTCGCTGGTTCGACTTCCACCGGTGACAATATTTTTCAAAAATTTTTTGCTAAGATTCTGAAAATTCGTGTCTAGGGGTTATTTTTGACGCTGATCACGAAACACATGTTTTTAGCCTAGGTTTCTGCACGGAAAACTAACGAAACGTGAAAACAGCCATTTTTTGGCTCTGCCGCCCTTTACTAAAATAGCTGTAAAAACTTTTAGAAAAGAGATATCTCAAAACGGTTTTTACCAATCGATCCGTCTTGAATTCAGCTTTAGGATGAGCTATAAAACGTCAAAATTCGACAAATTTAAGGTACTCTCCCAAAAAAATCGGAAAGGACTTTTCCATCAACCCAATACTTTGTGCACACATAAGCGCTCGCTCTCTGACAAATTGAATGAGGAATTTTGCCAGAAAGTGTGCATTTATCGGTGTATAGTGTACAAAATTCTATAGAATAAAACGTTTCTATAGAATAGTTCTTCTTTTTCTATAGTTCTAATGCAAACTAATCGAAAGTCCAAGAAAAAAACCAAGAAAAAACCACTTTTTACTAATTCTCCACAGCTAACTTTTTTGACTTCAAAGAGTTCAACAACTAAAATTCTAACGATATAACAGGAAAGAAAACAGTGTGTTTCTCAATGTAACAACGAATTCTAACCAAATTCACCGGAAATTCAGGACGAAGAAGCACAATCAGAGCAACATCCCGATGGTCCAATGTTGCCCGGTCAATCAAACTCAAAAGCACATCACCTCAATCATCACGGAGATTTTTAACCCCAAAAAATTACACCTCCTTCTTCTTATCTATTCTTACCTTCTTTTAAGAGTTTCTAATGGTTTCCGAAAGAAATTTGAAAGTAAATTTAAAACACTTTCAAATCAGCTATTCAAAAAATCCAGAAATTCGTCATTTCTATACTTTTGAATCCTGAATTTCCGTCATTTGGTGCCTCTAGGGTTTATCGGCGTTGAGGTAAAAAAATCTCATAGTCTATAGCTCTATATTGTTTGCTTTGTTAAAGAACTTCTTTCTTTTTAAAGAACCATTTCTTTTATTAAGATTTCTTTACGGTTTTTTCCTTTCATAACACAAATTTCTAGTCATTCGAGTCGAACAAATACGCGATTCTCTTAAAGCGGGTCCCTTTTTTTCGCTAATTTTCTCCGATTTTTCTATCCCCTCTTTCCCCTTTGCTGTTTTTTTTTTGAGAAATTCCCCTTTTCTTGATTGACACGGTTTTTGTTTCCGATAACCTACTACACAAAAGCTCATCGAATGAATTTGAAATTAATAAAATCCCCCGTTCCGGTGGGCGTTCCGGTGGTTTTTCTTTCTTCTTCTTTTCTAATTTCACAGCTTTTTAAAAGAGAAAATTTCATAAAATTGATTTTTTTTGGATAAAGAAAAATGTATGAGAATAAAGAGATTACTAAAAAGTTTTTTTTTTTTAATGAAAGAAACAAGTGATCAAAGGTGAAAAAGGAGCTCGAATTCGTCAATTTATCGCTAGCTCAAATCAAAATGATTAAAATGATCATCAAAATGATTAAATAACTTTTTAAATGATTAAATAACTAAATAACAGAATGATTAAAAATAAAATAACTTTTGTTTTGTAGAAAAGTGTAGCAAGTTTGAGTTGTAAATTTCAGATAAAAGATAGAAGATAAAAGATAAAAGATAAAAGATAAAAGTTAAAAGTTAAAAGATAAAAGATAAAAGGAATCATTTTTAAATAAGCTTCAAGTTAGGCCAAATTTTTTTGTTTAACTTTTTAGTTGGGCGTTAGCTTGTAAAATAGTTAGAAAAAGAAATAAATACTAATTCTAATGAGAAATTTGAAAGCTAATAGTAAGCTTTATGCTTGCTAATAGTAAGCTTTATTATTACCAATAGTAAGCCTTATCAAGTAAGTCAAAAATTTGAGATCTAGTTGTTTGATAGTTTAGCCAAAAGATAAATAGTTTTAATGAAAGAAATCTATTTATAATACTGATTTGTTCTCACTTTTAGACTTAAAAGCCTAAATTTTTCAAAGTTTTCTCCAATTTGATCTCAAAATTTTAGGATGAGCAAGCACAGGAACAGGCGAAAACGGATCAACAAAGGAACGATGAGGCATTGAAATCAATGCTTAAATCGATTGAGGATTAGGAAAAAAAGAAAAAGCTATACTTCTGCATCTTTGCCCCAACAGCATAAACGTACCGTAAATACTGTAATAGTACCCCACCCCCCTCGTACAGTCGGGTAGTCACAAAAGTTTTTTAGTATTTATTTTTTTTCAAAGCACCCGTACTTTCAAAAAATGCGTCTTTGGTATCAAAAAATAGCTGAAATTCAGGGCTATTTTTTGATACCAAAGCGCGCATTGTAGCAAAAACCAGTCTCGAGAAAAACTCGTTCAAAGCAAGACTACGCAACACTCCGCATCGTCATTATGGGGGTGGGTACTATTACAGTATTTACGGTAAATATTCCCCGATAAGTCTCTAGCTTGGTGAAAATAACGGGAAAATAGTCTAAATTAGATTTTTAATTCATTAATTTCATTAATTCTAGCTCAAATCTATTCAGAATCATAATCAAAACTAGGACATCAAAACTAGACATGCTAAAATTGAATGATGAAATAAGATGTGTTATATGAACTTTTTGACTTATCGGGGGTGGGACAAATGCGACCTTTTCTTTGCTGGAAAAGCCCTTAGGAAAGGTCGTAGAGCTTCAAAAATGTTTTCATAGAAGGGAATCGTATGCGTAGATTCCGAATTTCGACAAATCAGACCTACGCAAGTTAACGCTTTTCCGCAGTTTTTGCCTTTTAGCCCAAATTTGACGTGTCAGCGAGGTCTAATTTGTCGAAATTCGGAATCTACGCATACGATTCTCTTATATGGAAATATTTTCGAAGCTCTACGGCCTTGCCTAAGGCCTTTTCCAGCAAAAGGTGCGCAAATGTCCAGGTGCGCAAAAAAAGGTCGCATTTGTCCCAGCCCCGACTTATCAACTTAAAAATGCAGAAGTACCGCAAAAACCTTTGTCAAAATCAATCAAAAGATTTCAATTTTAAGATATTTGTACTCTAGTTTGGATTGAGATTTTCATGTTTTCCGTAATTCGTTCGCAATTTTGCAGGCTCATTGTATTTTTTTTATTCAGTGCCATAAACAGGTTTAATATCTTTTCGAGAGCTTTTAAGCACATTTAAATCTTGGTTTTTATTAGGTTGTTGTTAGCAAATGGTTTTTCTTGTGCCAAATTTCTACTGTACTGTAGTCTTTAAAGCAAATTGTAACGAAAACATCTATCGATCCTTTGCCGTTCGGAATTTAAGGGTTTTTCTCAGCACTAACCCATCGATTTTAACTATTTTGACTATCATTTGATGCAGAATAAAATTGCGCATCGAATGATAACAAAATTACCTCAAAATATAATATCCACACAAAGTTGTTGGCTAAAAACCTAACCCCCGCCTATTATGGACGGAGCTTAACCTTTTGCCGCATAACTTTGCATGGATATTATATTTTGAGGTAACTTTGGTATCATTCGACGCGCAATTTTATTCTGCATCAAATGATAGTCAAAATAGTTAAAATCGATTGGTTAGTGCTGAGAAAAAGAGGAAAAATCTTGAATTGACAACGGCAAACGAAGGATCGACAGATGTTTTCGTTAGAAATTTATTCTAAAGCCAAAACTGGGTGCTTGTTTTTAAAAGAAGTACGGTAACGCCTTGAGCAATGCGCTTTCTTTCTTTCTTTCGCTTTCTTTCTAGCTTTCTAACGCTTTCTTTCTAACAACTTTCGAAACCCTACCATAATCTTGACTCTATTTTACCCAATTTAACAGCTTTTTGGTCTAATTTTAAGAGAATTCACGAAGAATACGGTAAAATATTAAAAAATAGAATAATCGACGGCGTAAAGCGTTACAGATTATGGCTATTTTTGGCTTCATCTCATGAAAGCCGACTTTAAAAACACACGACAAGCTTTGTTAATTGAATTAGTGAAATAGAGACAAACCTGTGAACGAGAGGCGCAACTTGACGGTTTCTCCCTTGTCGAAGAGTTGCGCTGATGCGTAGCGCTCGACGCGGTTGATCTAAAGAATTGAATAGAAGCTCGGAATATGGATTTACTACTCATCGATTTACTTATTTTATTCGTTTCATTAAACTTTCTACAATAACAAACCTGTGGCGGCGAGTCCATACAAAGCTTGAAAGAGTATGACGCTTCACCCAAAGAGTTCTTGAGTTTGATCTAAATTGAGTTGTGTTTAGCTGATAGTTTAGCTGATAGCTGTTTAGCTGATACAGCTGATAGAAATATTCCATTGTGATAAATCTTTGAGTAAAGATTTATCACAATGGAATATTTTCAATGGAATAATAGTGTTTTCTTTACCGTAATCTCTCCCTCATCATCTTCTCTCATTTCACCGATTGTCAGCGATGAGGTGCCCGGTGAGGTCTCGATCCATTGACGCTTTCCAGAGAAAACTTCCTGAAAAAAGAAACAACTTGGTACAAAACAGAAAGCGGATTACAGTAAAGACAAAAACTATTAGGTGTGTGAAAAAGTAATCCACGTTTTTTATTTTTATCTGATGACCAAATAAGACGCTGTCTTCTCGAAAACCCTCGTTCAACCTCTTCAGAAATAGGCCTTACATTAAATTGTGATGGGTCAACCGTAAGGAAACGCTTGAATGCCATGAATTTTACCAAAAAGTTGGACAAATGGATACCGCATGAACGATAACGCGCGACCACATGTTTCTTTACAGACTCGACAAAAAATCCAGAGTGTTGGATGGAAGGTTTTACCACATCCACCTTATAGTCCAGACCTTTCTCCATCTGATTATTATTTATTTTTGTCTCTGTCTAACTTTTTGGCCAATAAACGGTTCAATTCCGAAGAAGATGTCAAAACCGAGGTTGATCTTTTCTTCGCCTCTAAGGACCAAGATTTTTATTATCGTGGAATGTCTTTACTTGTAGAACGTTGGCAAAAGGTTGTTCTTTCGAATGGTGATTACTTCGTTGAATAAAAATTATTTTAACGAAACTTATGGTCTTTTATATTTAAACGTTAAAAACGTGGATTACTTTTTCACACACCTAATATTAGAGTATTCGATTTTTTTTGTGCTTTTCATCTGCCACTAACTCGATCGATAAACAAATCGATAACAAATCCATTTCAACTGCACTCACCTTTTTATTCTTCAACCAATGCACTTCAGGTTGTGGTTCTCCATTGAATTCAACCACCATTTTCACCTTTCCTTTCTCTTTTCCCACCACCAACTCGTCGGGTTTCACGGTGAATTCGGGCTTCGCTTCGACTAAAAAGTTTTTTTTTGATAAACTTTTCCATTTTAATCACATATATGCTAGTGAACTTGTGATTTGTTTTGAGATTAGAAGAAAATGGAATAAAATTCATTTTGAAATAAAAAACACACCACACTGAACTTAACAGTGATCTATTTGGACAATAAAGTACTTGTGCACCGACAATTCTCCACTCATTTTGTACCTGCAGCCTTGTCGACTTTCTGAGCCGTTTCCGGCTCGCCGGCTTGTTTTTCATCTTTAGAAACTGCTTTTTCTGCGGTATCTAGAAAATTTGAAACTAGGAAAGCTAAGAAAAATTGGAAACTTTAGAGTAAAGCAAAATTTTTTTTACCCTTTCGATCTTCGCATTTGACCGGATCGGATGGCTCGGAGGCTGGACCTGAGCCCGTTTCATTCACATAGGAGACCCGGAATTGGTATTCGATATCTAGAAATGTTGATATATAAAGCCTTTTACTTTCACCAATAGATCTTCTTTCATTTCTGGACAAAGTTCAATTTAAAGTTAAACATTTTGCTCTGACAAAAAGCGTTCAGAACAAAAGAGAGAAATCGTTCAATACTAGAGTTCAGTACTCGAGAGTCTAGCCTACAGAACCAGAAGAAGAAGAAGAAGAAGAACCAGAAGAAGAAGAACCAGAAGAAGAAGAGGAACCAGAAGAAGAAGAAGAAGAACCAGAAATGAAATCAAGTACCACTTACTATTAGTGTTGAGTATTTTAAGTTAAACCTTTAAAACCTTTAAAACCTTTAAAGCCTTTAAAGCCTTTAAAATCATCTCACTCACCTTTCTTCAAGCCTTCAGCTGTATGGGTGGTCGTTGTGATTGTCTCTTTTGTGACAGTTTGCCAAGAACGTTTTGATTTAACCTAAAGCAATTTATTTTGAATTTTTGAAGATCATTGTATAGTTTTTTAAATAAAAACCTCTTTGAATTCCAATAAGTAATGCGTTTTCGGGTCCTCCGAAGCTTTCCATTCGACTTTTGCCGAGTTTTGAGTGACGCCGATCACTTGAGGTTTTGGTGGAGCCATGAGGGGTTTTTCTAAAAATTCATTTTGTTTTTAGTAAGCTATGCAAGTAGTTTTTAGTCTTTTATGTATAAACAATCTAACAAAGGGCTAATAACTTAAACTGAAACAAATCTTTAACATACCACTTTTCTTGGGCAATTTGATGGTGGCCGATGTCTCGACTGGCGGACCGGCGCCCATTGCATTCTCAGCCGAAATTCGGAAGAGATAATCGACATCTGAATTTCAATTTTTCCCACAGCTCATCACAATAAAGATAATGAAAAACTATCTACTTTTGAACTCAATTTAAATCTAATTTAAAATCCCTCACTAACCCCATTGCATTCCAGTCAACATCGTGCTCGTTTCGGTGGTTCTTGTCACAAAAGCCCACGTGTTTTTCTTAGCCTCTCGTCGCTCGACGCAATAGCCAAGAATTGGACTTCCTCCTGGAAACAACTGTTCAATTGCAATTCTTTACTTCAAACCATCATTTTGTGGTGGATTCCATGAGAGAGTGCATCCCTCAGCCGTCACAGTCGTCACTTCAACGGGCCCTTCGGGTGCTGATGGAAGTCCTGAAACGATGAGAATTTTTTAAAGTCTAGAAATTGTCTAGAAACAGAAGAAATTGTCTAGAAATTGTCTAGAAGTTGTCTAGAAGTTGTCTAGAAAAAGAAAAGACACTTGACATACTGAAAGACACGAAAATTGCCATTAAAGCTTTTCACCTTTGACACCAAGTTTTATCTTCACAATCGTTTCCCCAGTTTTATTCTTTGCCAGCAACACATACGTGCCAGCCGACTCGGGTTGACAATTCTTGATGGTGAGCGTTGCAACTCCATCCTAAACTCTTTCATCATCTCTAAACTTTCTCAAAAAAAACCTTTTCTTTCATAGTATGCTTTGAATCGTTCTTCAAAGCTTTTCCATCTTTTGTCCACGTGCAAATTGGTGGTGGATGTCCGGAGATATTCGCATAAAGTTGCACCGTTTCGCCGGCTTTCACGTCCATTGACGACTCTTCAATCTCGATTCTGGGCTTTTCTAAAAATACGATTTTTAAATCTTCTTTATCTTTTTCTTCTTTTATCTTAAAGCTTGAGTTTTTGAAAGTTAGATTTATCAAAAAAATCTACCATTGATCACCACTTCAAAGTCGACTATAGCTGATTGTCCATCTTTTGTCTTAACTTTGCACACATACTTGCCACCAGTCTTCTCATTTGCCTAAATCTCTAATAAATATATCAAATTTCTATTTAATACCTTGAATTGTAGACGACAAGAGTTTTTCTCAGTAATCACTTTGAATGAAACATCTAATGATTGTCCATCCTTTGTCCATTCAGCTTCAACTTCTTGATCGTTGATTTGAACAAATAGCTCAGCGTCTTGTCCATCTTCAAAGCTGAGACTTCTCTTCTCCACTTTGGCCTCAAGTTTCTTCACTTTCTTGATCTTTTTCTTGTCTTCTTCCGTTGTTTCATCTTTTGAAGCTTGACTTTCCGCTTGCGACACTTCAGACTCAGCTTTCTTCGTTTTCTTCTTTCCCTTCTTCTCCTCACTCTTTTGTCCATCTTCCTTAGCTTCAGCTTTCTTTTCTGCTTCAACCTTTTCTTCTTCTTTCTTCTTCACATCTTCTTTTGTCTCTTCCTCCTTACTCTTTCCTTTTGTTTTTGTTGGTGGAGGCGAAGTGATTCCTTCATCGATTGATCCTTTTTTCGATTCTTCTTCTGATGCAATTGTGCTTGCATCTTCACTTGTCAGTTCATCTTGTGATCCTCGTTTCTTCTTATCAACCGGTTTCAGCTCTTCTTTCTTTCTTGTTATATGTTCTCCTTCAACTTTCTTCTTTTCCAATCGTTTCTTCTCATCATCCGCTTTTTTCTTTGCTTCTTCAGCTTTCTTTGCTTCTTCAGCTTTCTTTACTTCTTCAGCTTTCTTTACTTCTTCAGCTTTCTTTACTTCTTCAGCTTTCTTTACTTCTTCAGCTTTCTTGGCCTCTTCAGCTTTCGCTTCTTCTGCTTTCTTCATTTCTTCAGCTCGCTTCTTTGCCTCATTTTCGACTTTCTTAGCCTTCTTTTCATCAGCTTTCTTTGTTTCCTCAGCCTTCTTCTCTTCTTCCTCAGCTGCTTTCTTGGCTTCACTTTCTTTCTTAGCCGCTTCTTTCTTAATTTCGTCAGCTTTCTTCTCCTCATCAATCTTCTTCTTTTTCTCAGTCTTATCTTTTTGTTCAAGTTCTTTTTCTGCTACTATATCTTTCTTTGCCTCGTCTTCAACTTTGGCTTCTGACTCTTTAACTTTCTCCGCAACTTTCTCTTCAGCCATCTTTTTCTCTGCAAGTTTCTTTTCACCCTTCTGTTTCTCAACCTCAATCTGCTCTTCTGCTTCCCCGGCTTCAACCTTTTCTGTGTCCTTTGTTTTCTTTGTCTTCTTCTTGGCAGCAGTAGCATCTTTCTCCTTTTCTTCTTCTGCTTTCTTGGTTTCGACACTTGAATCAGGCTCTACAACTTCTCCGACCTCAACAGCTTTTCCTTCTTCAGTCTTCTTTTTCTTGACCACTTTCTTTGTTTTCTTTTTTTCATCTTCCACTTGAGCCTCATCTTTCTCAACCTCTTTTACAGCTTCACCTTCAACAGGAACATCTCTCAGAGTTGATTCTGTTTTCCTTTCCTCATCAACAACTGTTTCTGGAATGAGTTGTCCTTCGGAAACCTCTGATGGACTCTTTTTCTCTTTCTTCTTCAGCCGTCTCTTCTTTCCAGATTCCTCTTCTTCAACTCTTTGCTCCATCTCAGCCAGTCTTTCTTCTTCTTCCTCCTGCTTCTTGCTTTCAGGTTTCAGTTTTTCCAATTTTTCCTTTGGAATCTTCACAGCCACAGACGCATCACCGGCAGGCGAAATGGTATTGCTGCCAAGAGCAACCAATCTATAAACAAACGGCTCATCATCGGTGATCGATCGATCAGTGTAATTCAAGCGATCAGTTGTCGCCAACTCGATCCACGCTCCAGTGGTCGCTGGTTTACGCTCAATTCTATAAAACTCGGCACTAGGAGTAGACGGCCATGTCAAGTGCACCTCAGCCCGATCAACCACAACATCCGGAACTTCAGGTGTTTCCAATTCCTGGGTCGGAGCCACAACGGTTTCTCGTTCTTCTGACTCTTCCCGTTCATCTTCTAGAGTGTAAACATCAACATGTTTGCTTGGATGTCCAGGTCCAACTTCATTCACCGCCAATACACGATACGTGTAAAGATCGTTATTGAAAAGCTCAAGATCTTCAAATGTTAGATGATTTGGACGAGCGCGTCCAACATTTCTCCAACGATCATGCTCGACTTGTCGCCTTTCAATGACATATCCAGTAATCGGTGATCCATTGTTGCTCTCTGGAGCCTCCCAACTTAAACAAGTTGAATGAGTTGTTGTGTTGAAAGGTACAACATTCAGTGGCTCTGAAGGAACGTCAATCACATTCAAATTGATCGTTTTCACCGTTTCTCCATGCTCATTGCTTGCAACAATCTTGATTTCTCCCGAGTCACCCTTTTTGATGTGTTTCATTCGAACTGAAACAGTGTCCTCATATTTATCGATCTCGGCTCCAGAAAGAGAAATTGGTTGCCCATTGTGATAAATCTTGATAGAAGGCTCTGGATTTGCTTTGAACTCGGCAGCAAAGTCGAATTCTTTTCCCGCAATAGCGATAACCTCGGGTTTATCGAGTGGCTCTGGGATGGTGATGATCGGTTTAACATTCAGCACAACTTTTGCCGGTGCCGATTTTTCTTTATCAGAGATTGAAATCGTGTATTCTCCAACGTCGTTCTTCTCAAAATTTCTGATCATCAAAGTAGCCGTTTTGTCTTCCATTGACATCACAATTTTACTCATTTGTGGCCAGACTTCAACACCATTCTTAAACCATTTCGGCTTTCTGACTGGTTTCGTTAGTTCACACGTGAGGGTCACAGTTTCACCAAATCCTTGAACAAATTGATCTTGTGGACCAACTTGAATATGTGGATCTTCTTCTTTCACAATAACATTCCCTTCAGCTCTACTTCTTTCATCAGAAGTCTCACAACGATAATGTCCAGCATCCATCAAAGTCGCTTTCTTGACTCTTAGTGTCCAATTTGGTCCAGTCTTGTTGATTTCGATTCTTTCTGAAACTGCTAACTTGCGACCATCTTTAAACCAATTCACAGTTGCATCGGCATCTGAAAGAGTGCACGTGAGAACAATGTCCATTCCCTCTTCAACGCTCGTTTCTTCCGAGAAAGATCTCTCGAAATGGGCTCTCACATCGCCAATCGTCACATTGGCACTCGTTTGCGCTTTCCCGATTTCGTTGATCACTTCACACGTGTATTTCCCACCATCATCTGCACTAGTGCCATGGATTTTTAAGGCCGACATATGACCTTCGCATAAGATCTCCATAGTGTCATCTTTCGGGATGAATTCGTTTCGATCTTTGTACCAAATGTATTCAGGAGCTGGCTCTCCAGTGGCATGGCACTCAAGATGAAGGTCACCCTTTACGTGGAACTGTCACATCTTTGAGTGCTTTGATGATCGTCGGTGCCACACTGAGCGCCACTTTGACAGGAGTGGTCGTGTCTGAATACTCGCCGACTCCGTGTTGATTTCTTGGCGCCACTCGGAACACATAAGCGATCCCTTCTTTCAAATCAGTAATGTGCGCTGGGCTGCAAGGAACGTTCACTTCAGCCCAAACAGACGATTGCTCAGATCGATAAGCAACGGTGTATTCGGTTGGCTCAGAATCCGACGGTGAATCCCAATAAACGTCTACTGAATCGGCATCGGTGATGATGACTTTTGGAATTTGCAGCTTATGTGCAGGCTTTCCTTGCACGGAGACGAATTCAGTGCTCTTATCCGAACTCGATTGCAAACCGGCCTCATTCAAAGCCTCGACTTTCAACTTATAGTCAACTCCAGGCTTCAAGTCGGTGACTGTATAATTCTTGACAAAGATCGGCTCACTAGTCACCTTTGTCCATCCACTACCATTCTCTTTTACAAACACTTCGTAAGCGTAGATTGGTGAACCTCCAGTCCTCGTTGGTTCACTCCACGAGATCGAGATTGAATCATTGGTGATTGCACCAATTCTCGGTGGTTCAGTAATTGATGGGGCTTCGAATGCAGTTCCCGTTTTCACCGGCTTTGACTCCGCAAATTCACCAGTTCCGAATTTGTTCATGGCGGCAACTCGGAAAACATATTCCGAATCTGCTTCAAGTTCTTCAATCTCCATCGCAGTACGAGTAGACGACACCTGAAAAGAGTTTTTGAAAACGCTCTTTTTGCTTAAAAAGCTTATCTCTATTATATTTGAGTTTTTGGTAAAAAAAGCAAAATGTCCGACCGGACGCGGATTCGAACCCTTGACATCTCGCACTCGGTGCAAGCGAGCTAGCCACTCGGCCATTGCGAGCCTCGCAGCGCCGCTGATATTTCGGAATATAAGTTAGATTGTTCATTAGACCATCGTCCTTTCTTGGGGAGATCACAGACAAGGATCTATAATACTAACAATGTCAGCGACACGCAATGACCGAGTGGTTAGCCCGCTCACAGCTAGTGCGAGAGGTCAAGGGCTCGAATCCGCGTGCGGTCAAACGTTTTGTAAGACATATCTGGCTCATAGCTGAATTTATAGATGGGATTTGAAAATTTCTCATCTATATGTGACTGACATGTCAAAATTAGATATAGATTAGATTTAAAGTCAAATTCAAACCTGTCCAACACTGTGGAAAGCACGTCGACCGTATTCTTTCTTCTCAACAATGTAGCCAGTGATTTGTGCTCCTCCATCATTTGATGGTGCCCATTCAAGAGTGACAACATTACCAGACAAATTCGCTATCGAGACATCGCTTGGAGCAAAGGGTACATCTGAAATAAGTCTTTAATTGGAAACAATTTTTTAAACTAACCAGCAACGGTGACTTTCACTGTTGTGCTTGCCTCACCATACTCGTTCTTGATCGTGATTTTGTATTCCCCAGAGTCCTCTTTACTGGCATGTCTTTTTGAGAAACGAATCGTATTTGATAAAATTCCTAGCTCAGCTTTTGCTTCTTTCGGAATCGGTTTTCCATTTAATGTAATCTCGGCAGTTGGCTCAGGTTCACCCTTGAAAATGAGATTCATCACCAAATTCTCTTGTGATTCGATTTCGATTGGTCGACCCTCTTCGGGGAAAATCGGTTTCCCATGAATTTCCAAGACAGTCGACACTTCTGAGTCGCCCGCTTGCAAAGTGTAACGACCAGCGTGTTTATAGGAGGGATTCTTGATCGTCAATGAAACATATTCATCGTCCGGCTCAGCGAAAAGCTCATAATCGAAATTTGCATTTAAATCCTCGTTATCTTTCAACCAACGAACGGATTTTGTTCCATGATTTAGCTTGACTTTAATAGTGAATGGTTCGCCTTCTTTGCAAATTGTCTTTCTAGCCAATTTGCTCTCAATGATTACTGGTGTTTCTTCAACAATTAACTTCGATTCAAATACAGCTGACGAAATTTGTCCAGAGATCACGATATTTGAGTCTTTTGGTGAAACATTGCTTAAAATTAAATGTCGAATGATTCCCTTATTAACAATGGTGGCTTTCGGCTCATCTTTAACCGGTTTCCCATTGATAAACCATTCCATTTCATCTTCTTCATTCGCAAGCTCACACTCGAATTTGATCGAATCACCGCGCAAAGCCAAGATTCTTGAATCAGGCACAGATACAAATCCTTCACGACGTTTTCTTCTTCTTCCAGATGAATCAGTGGATCCAGTGGAAAGTCTTCTTTTCGTTAAACTGTCATCAAGTTGCCCTTCAGCTTCAGCTTTTCTATCAACTGATTCTCTTCTTTCTGTTGCTAATGCATGCATTGTGGCTTGATCTCTCTCGGTACTCTTTGAAGTCACTGAAACACCTTCCTCATCAGTGCTTTGTCTGAATCCAGCTTCGGTTTCAGTTAAAGGAACTTTTTCTGTTGTCTTAGCTTGTTCTGCTTCCTTCCTTTCTGCCTTAGCTTGTTCATCTTCCTCACCTTTCTCTCCCTTCTTCACTTTCTTCTTCTTTCCCTTTTCTTCAGCTTTTGTCTCATCGCCTGTAAGAGTTTTTTCCTCTTCTTCTGCTTTTTCTTGAGCAACAGAAACTTCGGATTCCTTTCGTTTTGTGACTTTCTTCTTTTTCTTCTCATCTGGTTTTATCTGAGCTTCCGTTTCGTCAGCTTTTGGTTCAGCGGACTTCTCTTTAACCGCATCTTGAGTCTTTTCTTGTGCTTTTGGAATGGGTGGGAGTCCATCTTTTCTTGCTTTTCTTTGCTTTCCTTCAACTGTTGCTTCTCCTTCTGGTGTAGCTCTTTGATCTAAAGTAAACTCAGCTCCGTCCACAGGTGTGCTCGTTCGAGATCGAACGGTCTTAACAATGCTTGCGGATAGCGGTTGCTTCAATGGAGAAAGTACCTAAATTAAAGAGTTAGTAGAGATAAACGAATTTTACTGATAGTTTTAATAATTTAAGTTAAACTTTTCGGAAACTTTGGGTAGAACGTTTGCCTAGTGCGCGAGGGAAAATTCGTGCAAAACGCGTGTCTACACCACAAAGTGAGGGACAATTTTTTGACTTTAAAAATCAAAAAAAACTCTACCTCAGCACTTCCTTCCTTGGCGGTGATCTTAGTGGTGATGTTAGTTTCTGAATGGAGGGTGCTCGGGTCACCAAATCGGGAGTGAATCTCGTCTGGAATGACGAGAGGATGGGGTACAGCCTTCTTCTTTTTGTCGCCTGTTGGCGAGGCTTCTCTAGAGAGAATTCGCTTCTCGGCAACCACGGAAACACCCTCAACAGCTTCAGCTTTTGCTTTCATTTCCTCTGTAGCTTTTCGATCGACAACTTTCTTCGCTTCTTGAGCTTCCTTTGTTTTTCCAGCTTTCGCTTCTTCTGTCTCTTTCTTTTCCTTTTCACCTACCTTCTTCTTTGGCTTTTTCTCCTCAACTTTCTTGCTTTCATCCACTTGTGCCTCCACAACTTTTTCAGCTTCTTCCGCCTTCATCACTTCTTCGGCTTGCTTCTTTGCTTCATCATCGACTTTTTTCTTTCCCTTCTTTACAGTCTTGCCTTCTTTGTCTTTCTGATCTTCTTCAATGTTTTGAGCTTGATCTGTCTTTTTTGCTTCTTCGTGAGCCTGGGCCTTTGCATCGCCTTCAGACTTCTTCTTGATCTTCTCAGTTTTCTTTTTCTCATCCTCGACCTTCTTAGCTTCTTCAGCCTTCTTGGCCTCCTCATCAGCTTTGACCTTTGCTTCCTCGTCAGCTTTCTTCTTTGCGACTTCTTCATCAGCCTTTTTCTTGGACTTCTCCGTTTTCTTCTTCTCATCCTCGACCTTCTTGACCTCCTCAACCTTCTTGGCCTCCTCAGCCTTCTTGGCTTCCTCAGCTTTCTTAGCTTCTTCTTCCTTCTTCGCCTCCGCATCAGCCTTGGCCTTTGCTTCCTCGTCAGCCTTCTTCTTTGCGGCTTCTTCATCAACCTTCTTCGTGGTCTTCTCGGTTTTCTTCTTTTCCTCATCAACTTTCTTGGCCTCATCGGCTTTCTTGTCGGCTTCTTCCATAGTCGTTTTTGCCTTTTCTTCGCTCTCTACCTTCTTGGCAGCCTCGTCGTCAACTTTCTTTTGTTCCTTTGCTTTTTCGACTTCTCCAGTCTTGGCCTCCTCGTCAACCTGCTTCTGTGCAGTTTCTTCGTTGGCTTTACTCTTAACCTTTTTGGTTTTCTTTTTCTCTTCACCAATTTGTTTGACTTCTGCCTGAACAGTAGTTTTTTCCACTTCTTCAGTCTTGGTTTCGACTTCGGCTTTTGTCGGTTCGGCTACTTTTTTCTCGGTTTGTTTTGCCTCTTCTGCATCAGCCTTCTTCTTGCTCTCCTCCGTTTTCTTCTTCTCATCCTCAGCCTTCTTGGCCTCCTCAGCTTTCTTGGCTTCGTCAGCTTTCTTAGCTTCTTCAGACTTCTTGGCCTCCTCGGCAGCTTTGGACTTTGCTTCCTTGTCGGCCTTCTTCTTTGCAGCTTCTTCATCAGTCTTCTTCTTAGTCTTCTCGGTTTTCTTCTTCTCATCCTCAGCCTTCTTGGCCTCTTCAGCTTTCTTAACCTCTTCCTCAGCTGCTTTCTCCTTTGCTGCCTCATCAGCCTTAGCTTTTGCTTCTTCAGCAGCCTCCTTCTTGAGGTCTGTTTTCTTCTTTTCCTCATCAACCTTCTTGGCCTCTTCAATCTTCTTAGCTTCCAACTCAGCTACCCTTGCCTTCTCTTCTTTCTCTGCTTCAGCTTTCTGTTTGGCGGCTTCTTCGTCCTTCTTGGACTTCTCGGCTTTCTTGGCCTCCTCGGCAGCTTTGGCCTTTGCTTCTTCGTCGGCCTTCTTCTTTGCAGCTTCATCATCAATCTTCTTCTTGGTCTTCTCAGTCTTCTTCTTCTCATCCTCAGCCTTCTTGGCCTCCTCAGCTTTCTTGGCTTCGTCAGCTTTCTTAGCTTCTTCAGCCTTCTTGGCCTCCTCATCAGCAGCCTTCTTCTTGGCCTCCTCGGCAGCTTTGCCCTTTGCCTTTTCTCCAGTCTTCTTCTTTGCAGTTTCTTCATCAGCTTTCTTCTTGATCTCTTCGGTTTTCTTCTCTTCCTCAGCCTTTTTGTCCTCTTCATCTGCTTTCTTCTTTGCCTCCTCATGGGCTTTAACCTTTGCTTCTTCATCAGCTTTCTTCTTGGTCTTCTCATCCTCCACGATAGCTCCAGCGGCAGCTTTCTGTTCTTCTGCATCTTTGGCCTTTGCTTCCTCACTTGCTTTCTTCTTTGTTTTCTTCTTCTCGGTCTTCTCAATCTCTTGCATTTTCGTTTCCTCATCTTTTTCGACTTCTTCGACTTTCGTTTCTACAGCTGTCTTTGCTTCGTCGACCTTCTTGGCCTCAACATCCTTTGGTTGTTTTTGAGTTGCCTCCTTTGCGTCCTCAACTTTGACTTTCTCAGTCTTATCAATCTTTTCCTCTCGCATCTCTTTTGTTTCCACTTCTTTTTCAGCCTCAACCTTTGCCACCTCATCAGCCTCTGTTGGTTTCTTTGCCTTTTTCTTTTTGCTTTTCTCTTTTTGTTCTGTCGTTGTTGTCTCACTTGTAGGAATAGCCTAAATTTAGTTGGTGAAATCACACGTGGGTTAGTTTTTATGGTTTCGAAAAACGTTTCTGTCTTTGGGCCATCAAATCAGTGGATTAGACAATATCTAGTAGTTCAAAAACGAAAAAACTTGTTTTGTTTTCAATATTTGGTTTTTTTTTCATACCTCTTTTCCTGCTATCGTTTCATCAGCACCGAGTGAATCTTCTGAAAATAATGATATTTTGCTTAAGCATTAGGTAGTTATCAAGAATTTACGTCAACCGCAGAACTTGAATGGCTACAATTATGCAAAACATTTAACAAATGTTAGATTATTAACAAAAACAACAGGAAACACTTTTAGCTAGAGTTACCAGCTTGAATGAAACTAAAAGTACACATTTCCTATTCACATTTACATTTACAGGACATTTCCATCTTTCTGGAAGTTACAAGACACACCTTTGGACGACCGGACAACGACATCAGAAAAACACCATGCTTCGCCAGCAATGTTAACAGCTTGACATGCATATTCGGCTTCCTCGTCTTTTTGAATGTCCTTCAAGATGAGCATATGACTTCCGGCTTCTCCACTGCCGCGTTTGATCAAAACCTAGGGAGATGCATGTCAAGATCAAAACTTCTTAAAGCTAAAAGCTTTGTCCAAAACGCACCTTGTCATCGGTTTTCAATTTCTTTCCATCTTGATAGAAGTGGATCTCTGGTTCGGGTATACCCCGTGCTTCCACCGAAAGAATCACATTCTCGCCCTCGACCGCATCATGATCCGAGAGGATTTTGTCGAATTTCGGTGGAAGTAGTTGCGTCATGCGCTTGGCCAAAGAATTGCTCCGCTCAAAGACCTGCAAATTGTTGTCAGCTTCGAAAAACACTTATAGCTCTACTCTGAACAAAGATATCAGAAAACTAATCACAAATTCGAACTCCGACATACTCTGGCTACAAAACAAGTCAAAATTTAACCACTTTTCAGCACATGAACTTAGATTAGCTTTATGTAGCTTCAGAATATTCAGTCTACAAGAAACAAAACTCAATTTTACTAAATTTAGCAAAATTGTTTTGGTATTTTGTACTTAGTATTTAGCATGCTAAACTGCGAAATCGGTTTAGCAAAATTGCTTGATGGTAAATCGTAAATAGTTTGATAGCTCATCGAGCCCAGCTCATTGAAAGCTCATCGAGCCAGTAGCTCATTGAAAGCTCATCGAGCCCAGCTCATTGAATGTTGTTCTAGAGGTTACAATTCAAATCTAACCCTTATAAAATTATTATAGAAGAACTAAAAACCAATAAGAAAACCTAGAAAAACAAGTTTTTTCACAATTTTCCACACCTTTTTGGTTCGTTTCCCTTTCTTCTTGATCTGTTTCTCCAAATCGATTTCACTATCCGATGATGGAGCGACAGCCTCTTGTCTCTGCATTTTGCGCGTTTTACGATTTATTCGCCTTCGCTCGAAACGTTCAGCATCGTCGTAAACTGAAAGAAAATTATATTAGCTAATTTTAAAAGCCAAACCTGGACATTCGACGATCAACTCGAAATTGCAACTGTCCACACCGGCAATATTCTCAACGAGTAGACTGTACTCATCATCATCAGCGAAAGTACAATTGCTGATTGAGAGATCGATTTCACCGTCACCGGCATATTCCAATGTAAAGCGCGAATCCTCGGCAACTTGGAGTTCTTTGCCATTCTTCAGCCAAATCAATTCGGGAGATGGATAGCCGAGAACTTTGCCTTTTAGCCTAAATTGTTTGTTTGGATCTTTTTTTAAAATACAATCAGATTAGAAAATGTTTATTATTTTTAAAATTCATTCAACAAACCTAGCCGTTTCACCCTCCATGATTACTTGATCTTTGATTGGTGAAACGAATTGAGGAGCCTCGAAATTCATCAGATCTCGTGGAGCTGAAACTCAATGAGCTTTTATTATGAGCTTTTTTAATCAAACCAACCACTCTTTTCGACTTTGAACTTAAAGCTATGCTCAGCTTTGCCAAAATCATTCGAGATAATCATCGTGATCATTCCAGCGTCCATCGGTCGAACATTTTCGATGATCATCGAAAACGAGTAGAGATTTCCTTCTTGTGTCACTGCGAATGTCACCCTCTCACTTTTCTCCATATGCTCGTTATCCTTGTAGACAGAGATCTAAAAAAAAATCTTTTTAATTCAATATTTCTTGAATCACCAATGGTTCAGGGTTTGCAGCAACTTTGACATCAATGACAGCCGTCGATCCGATCTCGGCGGTGATATCCCGTTGTTTTTTGACAAACTCAGGAGCCATCTCTTGTCCAAAGGTGAACTTTTTGCCCTCATCTCCTAAAACTGTTTTTATCTTTGAAATCAAAACAATTCAACTTTATTTACCTCTCTTCTTCTTTTTGCCCTTCTTTTGCTCTTCAGTCTCAATTTTCTTTTGATCTTCTTCAGCGATTTTCAATGCTTCCTCAGCTTCTTTTCGAGTTTCCTCTAAAAGCTGGGCTTCAGCTTTTTCCATGTTTCCAGCAAAAAGGTTTTCAGCTGTCGCTTCATCACTTTCTTTCTCCATTCCAGGCACTTTAGCTTTTCTTGTCTTCTTTTGCTTCAACGCCTCACTAAGCGATAGTTCAGCAGAACCATCTGCCGTCTTACCACTCATTTCCATTTCCATTGCACTCTCACTTTCCGATGTTTCATGAATCTTCTTCTTGGATTTTGCAGACTGTTTTCCTTTTTCAGTCAGTTCAGCATCTGCCGAGTCCTCTCTACGATGAAGGGCTTCGTCGTGAGCAATTCCTGTCTCACCAGCAGCTCTCAACTTTTTCGATTTCGCCACTTTACTCTTATCTCTAGAAGTGGCTCCTTCTGCTGCTTCAAGACCACTTAAAGCAGCATCAACACTAACATCTTCATCACTTGCTTCTTTTACTTTCTTTTCTTTCTTTATCTTTTCTTTTGACTTTCCAATAGATTCCGTGGCTTCAGACTGATCCTCTTTATCAAAGTCGACATCAACTTCAATCATTTTCCCATCTTTTCCTCTGATTCTCTTCTTCACTTTAGCTTTTCCTCCATCTTTATCAGCGACACTTCCAACAACTTCATGCTCATCTTCTTCTTGAGTCAAAGTAGAGTCCAAAGACGTTGTTCTACTCGTAGCACCTTTGAGCTTTTTCTTGAGAATATCCGTTGGTTTTATTGATTTTGAAAAATGTGCTGATTCAACTTCACCATCTTTGCTAAATGATTCTTCAGCAAGAGAGTTTTCAAAGGAAACAGATTTTGTTTTCTTTACCTTTTTGACTTTAGTAGCGCTTTTCAAACTCTTCTCCGCGTTCTCAGCTTCTTCATTCCGAGAAACACTTTCGTCTACTGAAGCTTCAGCATCAGTTGGTTCTCTCAACTTCTTTTTCGATTTCAGTTTCTCTTGATGGGTTCTCGAATCAGTAACTCCTTCAGAATCCTCATCTTTCTCAAAATCTTGTGAAATCTTTGCATTAGTTTTTGCGCTTTCTTTCATTTTTCTGGCTAGTTTAGTTCGTTCCGAGATCTCGGATAGATCCTCCGTCTCTTCTGCTTCAGAATCTCTCAACAAATCAGCTTCAACACTCACTTTTCCTTTCAATGGTTCCCTTGTTTTCTTCGAGATCTTCTTGAGATTTTTTCCAGCTATCTCCATCTCCGCATCAGCAATCTCTTCATCAAGTCTTAAATCTTTACTCAAGCCCGCTTTGCTTTCTCCCGCTTCTTTAGCTCTTTTTTTAGCAGCAGCTTTAGCTTTAGCTGCTCTATCTGAATTCGCTTCACCAACAAGATCTTCTCTTGAAAACTCAGAGTCAACAGAAGATTCCCGATATGATGATCGTTCTTTTGAAGAGAGCTTTTCATTGCCTTTAGCTGAAGCGTTTTCCCCATCTCGTCCAAATTCAGCACTCATATCAGTCTTTGAATCACGAGGTTCTTTAGAACGCTTCTTGACGCTTGACCTTTCCTTTTCTTTACCAAGCTTTTCAGCACTCGCCGATTCTCCATCTTTTGAGAACTGCGAATCAAGCGAAGATTCTCTATACGAAGCTCCTTTTCCTTTTCGGTGTAACTTTTGTGAGCCAACAGCGTCACCTTCTTGTCCCATATTCTCGAATTCTTCATTTAACGAGATCTTGGATTTTTTCGGCTGTTTTACACCCTTTTTCGCGGCAGTTCTTGTTTTGCTTGTCATTCCATGATCAGCTTCTAAAGTCTGTTCATCTCGAGCAATCTCAGAACTGATCGAAGTCTCACCATACGAATCTTGATCTTTTCTCGAGAGTCTTTTCCCACCTTCAGCGTCGCCAGTTTCAGCTTGCTTGTCCAGATTTGCATCTAGTTTTGCGCCTCTCTTTGAAGCTTCTTTTGTTTTTCGTTTAGCAGAAGCTTTAGCTTTAGCTAGTTCTTCTTTACTCATTCCCGCATGTTCGCTTTCTCGAGCGAATTCAGAATCCACCGACGACTCTCGATATGATGTTCCCTTTCCTCGATTCACTTTACCTAGTTCTTTCTCAGCTGCAGCTTCTTCATCCTCGCGTGTCAATCCTTGTGACAATGCAGTTTTTGAGGTTTTTGGTTGTTTAGCCTTTCTTGAAGCAGTCATTTTGTTGTCAAGAAGCTCTCCATCTGCCCCAAATTCATCCTCTTCACCAACTAAAGAAGCATCCATGACTGCTTCTCTTTTCGTTGGTTCTTTGACTCTTTTCTTTGTCTTAATTTTAGATTTATCTGCTTTCGAAGTGCTTGTCGTTTCTTCTTCACCTTCTCTCCTAAAGTCTGAATCAGCCGACGATTCTCGGAGTGTTGATCCTTTTGCTTTTCTTCTTGCTTTCAATGCTTCAGCTGTTGTTAACGATGTTTCAGCACTCAACGAATCTTCATCTTTTGACAATGCGGTCTCGCTTTTCGTTTTTGACTTACTGGATTCTTTCATTTTCTTGCCAACAGCCAGTTTTTCTTCAGATTCTCCAAGCATTCCAGCTTCTTCATCATCTTCGTCTCTCGCCAAATGACTGTCAATTTTTGTTAGCTTATGTGTGGGTTCTCTTGCTTTCTTGGAAGCTTTTGACTTTTCGTCACCTTTCCTAGTCACTTCAGCGCCAGCCAGATCTTCGGCTTTGCTCAATTCCGAATCCACACTTGATCGCCTTTCTCGTGGCTCTCGAGATTTCTTTGACACCTTTGCTCTGGATCTTGCAGCAGCACCGGCTTCAATCGCTTCAGATTCTTCTGTCTGCGAGAACTCGGATTCAATGGTCGTTCTTCTATCCGTTGATCCCAAAGTTCGACGGGAAAGTCGAGATTTCTCTTTCTGTGTGATGCTGCGTTGACTAGCTCCTTCGTGTTCATCTCCCGTGAATTCGGCATCGGCTGTCACTTCGGTTAAAGCTGAAGCTGCAAGGCCTTCAGCTCCCTAAAATCAAATTTATTCATGCATAAATCTCTGTATGGATACTTGAAATACGATTCCTGCGGCTAATACGTTTTCTACAGAGGGCCTATTTTAGAAAATTATCAATTTTATCGGAATCAAGCTACCAGTTTAATCTAATCAGCCAATTTTGGTTTCATTGACTAAGACCAAAATTGAGTTGATCAGATGAAAACCGATGGTTTAATTACGATAGTTTTCTAAAAGTTTTCTAAACGATAATTTTCCAAAATGGGCTTCTTTTAGAAAACGTATTCTTCAGAGGAATGAACTTTAGATTCACTTTTCAACTTCAGAATGGCTATAGTCTACTGGAATATAACCGTAAAGCTGTTCATTTTTGAATTGTCAATAGGTTTACAACCGAAAAACGAGATGAAGTGGTCAACTCTCGTTTTTTACTTGTACACCTGACAATCAGACCGACAAATAAACAGCTCTATCAAGTCGTATTTTAAAAGAAAAGTTCATCAACTTTATTAACTTTCATTAAGCTCATTAATTTTTTTTTAAATACGGCTAGATAGCGCCTGAGATCTACACTACTGGACAATGTAATATCATATTTGAAAAAAGTTCATCACTTTCGCGCGTCTGTAACTCCCTTGTCTTTACCGTATTTCTAAATATTAATATTACCATTGTGTAGCCCTTGAAAAGAGCTTTCAGAAAATGTATAACACTAATGGCTTAAACTCAAAGACAAGGGGGTTACAGACGCGCGAAAGTGACGATCGTTTTTCAAATATGATATTTCATTGTCCAGTACTGTATATCAAGTGGTCAAGTGAGCACGAGTAAATAACCCAAAAACCTACCTTCACATGCAAATTCTTGGTGAGTTGCTTCTCGGTGGATAGCTTTTTGTTTGTTTTGAAAGTTTCTCTGAAAAATTGAGATTAAAAATTTTTGATAGAAAAATGAAACCTCTTTGTGGTGGCAGCACTTTCAGCGTCATCTAAAAATTCCCAAATATTGCATTTCTTTTCAATCCAAACCTTGTTTTACTCCTTTTCCTTCACCGCCATCACCACTGACTAAAAGGACAACTTTTCGACAAGAACATTGAACAAAAATGACTAGACATTTTCACATTTTTTTGACAATAACCTCAACTTGAACGAGTCCCTACTTTTTCAAGGGGAAACATGCACATGCAGAGATGTTTTCTTTTTTAATTTTACAAATAGACATCAAACATTCACCTGTTCTGCGGATAAACGATTGGAAAAATTTCTCAAACATACCACCTCCTGGTAATCGTAGCTTTTTCGTGATTGATTCATCTGAAATTTTCGCAATTTTCGCAATTTTTCTGTTCTAGTACTCGATTGAACAGCGTTTTGAGTGTTTTCACGAAATTTTTGGTGTGAAAGTTTTGAAAAGAGCTGCCAAACGACTTTTGAGATATTTTGAGTGTGTGCTCGCGCTTTTCGGGAGAAAAATGAAAGAAAGAGAGACGAATATCTGGAGTTTTGTCAGTAAAGAAAGTGGATGTTCTTGTTCTTGGGCTTGAATCATTATAAATTTTAAATAATTTTTAAATATCGGTTCAGAATATGGATTTAAATAGAGAATAGAGATTAAATAGAATAGGGAATAGAGAATAGAATTCAAATTATCTTGGATAGCGGCTAAACAAAATGGCTAGGGGTAAGATAAATGATAAATAAATTTAGCTACCAGATTTGTAATGTATAAAGATAGTTTAAGAGTTGTTTAGGTGAAAATTTCAAATCTTTAATGGGATTTGAACAAAAGCGATAGATTTTTGATAGAAATTACTACCAAAATTGAAACTGAAACTACTGAAAAGCTCAATACAGTTGCTCGAAATACATTTTACGAAACTGAACATCAATCATCGTTTGGAAAAAGGTTTGTTCTGGATGATTTTTTGAAAAAAAAATCAATTAACAAATTAAATCGATCAAGTATCAAAACGAATTTCACAGTAGCAAAAATTTGATAGACCTATTATGTTTGAAAGTAGTCAATAGATCATTCTTCTAAGCAATAATAGCTTATCAAAGTAAGTCTCGATTTAAATCTAACAAATATAAAAAAATAAAACTTTATACCATATTCTCTCTAATAGTAGTGCGCACTACTATTTTTTCAACCCCCTCCTGGACCGCAAACATTGGGTGCACTACTATTAGAGAGAATACGGTATTTACTATAACTCTATATCAAAATCAAAACGTTGAGCCAATATGATGGCTGCTAGAAAAAAGCTGATTTCTGATTAGATAAGTGATGAAAAATCAGATGGTTTATGAGCAAGAAAATTTCGAAATCGTTAACAAAAAATGCTCAATAATGGCTGTAGAGTGGAACGTGCATGGAAAGAAAAGACAAATAGGAATTGTGGGGGAGATTCCAGCAAAGAATGGAGTTCTGCGGGGTCCCAAAACCGGGGGGAAAGAAGGGGGGAAAGGCTGGGGTCGGCGAGATGTCGAGTGAGCGGTGGAAAAAGGGGGGAGGGGGAAAAATAGAGATCTTCTCGGATCTGGGATAAGAGAAACGAAAGAAGATTTCCCTGTAGTGAGATTTCTTCAGAAAAGAAAGACTGAATGACTGAAGGTTTTCTGAAGAGAAGCCCCTTTTTCCCTTCTTTCCCCCATCACAGATGCCACCGATAAAAAGAGAAGAGAGAAACCTTTCTTGATCTCAGGAGACGCGCGCCCTAACCACTTGAGTCAGCTTCTACAACTGTTAAAACAGTGCGACCCCCGCGCGACCTCTCATTTAGAGATAAAAAACCCGAAAAACTGTTAAACTTCTTCATGGGAATAGGATGGAGGAGAAAAGCTGAGGAATTTCTTGGCTCGGATTGCAAAACGGGGATCTTATTGGAAAGAAAGTTAGAGAAAAGATTAGGTATTAGTTAGACACGTGAGTCCTTTTATAGATTAAAGTTGGGAATAGAAAGCAATGGATTTGAAGGTCAAGATCAAGTTCGAACCTTGACCTTTTTGCATTGTTTTGTAAGATTTTTAAATGAATAATTTAAAATACCTTGCACTTCTTCGATTAGTTGAGTTTCCTTCGCCATCTGTAAGTTGAAATCCTCGTCGATCTCTGAAATTTCGTAGTCCTCCGCTTCCTCGATTTTCTCTCGAATCTCCTCGTCGATCGAATCCTCATCGTGCTCGGGTTCCGACAGTGTATCCACATCAACAACTTTACTTGGAGCACCTGAAAGTAACCAGTGATAAGTTGAAAACATTCAAAGGCAAAAGTAATACTATAAGTCAAAGGAGCAAGTACCTACAGGGTGCGTTAAAAGTTCTGTCACCTTCCTAAAGCTAGTTTTGCAAAGCTAAAAACTGAATTTTGTTTCAGCTCAATGAAGAATATCATAGGAAATAGTACTTTTAAATTATCTAATAGCGAGATTCAATGGCATAGGTTGTTTTTTTGGTTTTTCTGCCAAAAATACTTGAAATTCCGGCAAATCGTCCACAACCAGACTTTCTATTTATAAATTTGTTACTAGTAGAAGATAGAATTCTTCTAGGAACTTCTAGAAACATTTATTTGACGCTTTTTATACGTTTTTATTTAATATTCATAAAGCAAGCTTAAAAAAATCCAAAGTTGATTGGTATTTGCCTTAAAATCTATAAACCCGGTAATTGACAGAACTTTTGGCGCATTTTGTAGTTCATGCTTACTTAAAATACGATTTTTGCGGCTAATTGCTCAACCATACTTTCCATTTATTAAAGCTTTACCAGTCAAAACTATCGTAAGAAAAGAAATTTCAAAAATAGGTTTCATTTTTCTCTAGAATGCTTAATTCTTATAGTCACAGAAGTTCCATTTTAAGCCTCAAAACTCACTTTCGCCACAAGCATTCACAGCGAGGATGCGGAAACCGTAGAACTCGTTCGATAATAAATCCTTCGCAATGTACTTTGTCGATCCATCATCAATCGTTGACACCTATATAATAGATATTATTAAGCCAGAGTCATAAGCTGATCAACTAGCTCAAGCACTTGATAAACGTTCAAAGAGTCAATGAAACCAAATACCTGTCTCCATCTCGAAAACTCGACTGTTTTCCTCTCGATCACATAAGCAGTCACTGGGGCTCCATTGTCGTCAGCTGGGGCATTCCAAGTGATCTCCGCCGATTTGTGAGTGACTTTAGTGCACATTGGCCGCTGAGGAGCACTCGGCACATCGATCACAACAAGTTTCAGAGTCACTTTTGTCGTTCCATTCTTGTTAGCTGCTTCAATTTCAATTATACCCGAATCGCTTGGCTTCAAATTTCGAATTTTCAACGTCACCGTATCTTCGTACACTTCGACACTACCACGAATCTTGAAAGAATTTCCATTTAGCGTGACGTTGATTTCAGGTTTAGGATAACCGCTAAATTCTAGGGAAGTGTTCAAATGCTGATTAGAATTGAGGCGAATTTCCGTTTTTGTTCCCTGCAAGTCAATTTTTGGTTGTGCTCGAATGTCGACTTGACACGAATGACTGTTGATTGTATCATTCAATGTAACGTAATATTTGCCAATGTCTTGTGGGGCGACCCTTAGAATCTTCAGTACGGAAATCCCTTCTTCGGTGTGGATTTCGTAGCGATTTCTCATTTCGAACATCTCCACTTCTTCTTTGTACCACTTGAGCGATTCGAAAGTGCCAATGAACTCGCATTTCAACTCGAGACTCTCGCCCAAATTACTGGCAATCACGTCATCGGGGTGCTTGATGAAATCCAATTCTGAAATGTCAATGATGTTATTCAAAAACTTCGGGGACTACCCAAATCAGCGCCGCCCATTTTAGCGCCAAATCGAAAATAGAGTCATGTGCAAAAGTCTTTTAACACTCAATCTTCTATAAAGTTACATTGATTTTCTTTGATAAAGTTCATGGCGCTCTTTAAGCTATTCATAGTTTTAGTTACACAAATATATGTACAATTTATTTACACAAAACGCTGTCGCTATACAAAAATTACGGGGGTGGGACAAATGCGACCTTTTTTTTGCGGACCTGGACATTTGCGCACCTTTTTTTGCTGGAAAAGGCCTTAGGAAAGGCCGTAGAGCTTCGAAAATATTTCGAAAATGTTTCCACATAAGGGAATCCTATGCGTAGATTCCGAATTTCGACAAATCAGACCTCGCTGACACGTCAAATTTGGGCTATAAGGCAAAAACTGCGGAAAAGCGTTAAGTTGCGTAGTTTTTGCCTTTTAGCCCAAATTTGACATGTCAGCGAGGTCTGATTTGTCGAAATTCGGAATCTACGCATAGGATTCCCTATGTGGAAACATTTTCGAAGCTCTACGGCCTTTCCTAAGGCCTTTTCCAGCGAAAAAAAAAGGTGCGCAAATGTCCAGGTCCGCAAAAAAAAGGTCGCATTTGTCCCACCCCCGTAATTTTGTATAGCGACAGCGTTTTGTGTAAATAAATTGTACATATATTTGTGTAACTAAAACTATGAATAGCTTAAAGAGCGCCATGAACTTTATCAAAGAAAATCAATGTAACTTTATAGAAGATTGAGTGTTAAAAGACTTTTGCACATGACTGATTCTATGAAAACATTTTTGAAGCTCTACGACCTTTCCTAAGGCCTTTTCCAGCAAAAAAAGGGGCGCAAATGTCCAGGTGCGCAAAAAAGGTCGCATTTGTCCCACCCCCAAAATTACTCATCGAGAAAAAAATATAATTGTCAAAACACCCCTGAAAATCGTGGTGCAAAAGTCTTTTAACACTTGAAAATTTTTTTGATTATTTTGGTTCACCTCTTGTTTACTGGTACTAATTTATTTTTTTTAGATGCCAGGAGCGTATTTGTCAACTCCGAATAAAGAAATCATCGTCAAGGCAAGGAAACAATGTAAACAACAATCTTAGGATGTACGCCACAACAGTTTCTCTTGTTATGGCAAAAATGAATGCGTCTGGAAATGTGCATGGATGCAAGAAAAAGGGACGGCCGAGGATTACAACAAAGAATGAAGACCGATTCCTTACGGGAGTTTTCAAGAAGGATCCGAATTTGACGTTGAACGATGGAGCCATTCTTTTCAAGCAAACTTCAAACAAGAATATTTCCCGCTGGACCTTGCGTCGACGCTTGCTTCAAGCAGCATTGCATACTAGAAGACCTGCTCGCAAGCCTATGATGACAGCCAAACACAGGAGGCAACGCCTTCAATTTGCACGAACCTATTCAAATTAGACAATCAATGATTGAGCCCGAGTGATTTTCGTTGATGAAACAAAAGTTGATATTTTTCCTTCAAATCGAAATCATCTGATCCGATGTCCAGTCGGAAAACGATATCAACTCAAGTACCTGCAACCTACCGTGAAAAGAGACGGAGGATCAATTATGTGTTTCGGTAAGGATGATTTTCTTTTTATGCAGCCCGGCGTGATTTCTTTAGGTGCGATGTGTAAAAGTTCAACAGGTCCGCTTGTCCTCGTAAAGTCAACAATGGATTCCCGCCAATATATTGAGATATTGGACAGATGTCTACTTCCATTTGCGACTGCTTCGATGAATCCAGGATGGTTTCTTTATCAAGATAATTCGCCAGTACACAAAAGCAAATTTTTGATGAGCCGCGTTGTGAGTCTCTCGAATGGAGGAAAAGCACATTTACCGGGATGGTTTGGGATCAATCACGTTTCCTTGATCAAAGCTCCACCATTCTCACGGGATTTAAATGTTATCGAGAATTTATGGGCCTATTTTAAATCGAAATTGCGAGGAAAACATTTCAATTCTAAAGTCGAGCTACGGTTTTACATCAGAAAAATTTGGAGGACGATTGGACCTGGAATTCTTGATGAATTAATTGCATCGATGCCTACTCGTGTTAAAGAAGTACTTTTGGCAAAAGGAGGGCCAACAAAATATTGATTATAGCTTAAATTCGTCTTGTGTTAAAAGACTTTTGCACCACGATTTTCAGGGGTGTTTTGACAATTATATTTTTTTCTCGATGAGTAATTTTTGTATAGCGACAGCGTTTGTGTAAATAAATTGTGCATATATTTGTGTAGCTAAAACTATTAATAGCTTAAAGAGCGCCATGAACTTTATCAAAGAAAATCGATGTAACTTTTTAGAAAATTGAGTATTAAAAGACTTTTGCATATGACTGTACACTAAAAACGCCCATTTCAGCGCTGAATTTTTCGCACTACTGTCATGTTTTTGCATGTTTTTTGTGCTTTTGCTCGTACTTTTGCAGTTGTTTTATTTTTTACACATAGAACAGGTCTAGGAGTAGCTATTACGCAAAAAAGCACAAAGTTTTACCACAGTTTAGCGCTTTTTGATGGAAATTCTTAACTTGTTCACAATTTTTCTCACTCAAATCGTTGTTTTTAGCGTTTTTGGATCTCTTTCTGTAATCTTTCTTATTATAAAATGTTCTAATTTCTAAGTTTAGATAGATGGTGATTCTTTCGCAGTGTGTCAAACAGCTGATTTTCTATGATGAACGTTATGAATAGCGAAAGGACAAACAACGACCTCGTTATAAATATTTCAAGCAAGTCTCTTTTTCCTCTTTTTGACTACATTGAGATTTTTTTAGTCGCCGACATCAATGACGCGTGCTACTTCTACGAGACGGACGTTGTTGCGGCAGAAAAGGTAAGAAACTAGTTTGTATTGAATATTGATTAAACCTTGTTTAAGCACTAATTTGTCATTTTTAGGCTTCAACGACCATTTTTGATCAAGGAAATCGTATACCGGAATAGCTCGGACTGCAAAGAGGAGTGAATTGCAAGGGCCTACGACTCTTCGATTCATCTGTGGTTAATATTACCTTCGTTTCCTAAACTAATTTTATTATACATCTGAATATCTGCTAGATCTTTTTGAACAAGCTTGCTACCACATTTAATTAATTATCTTGGCGCTCGATCATGACCTGCCGAGTTTTAGCTTTTTTCTTCTTTTAAACCTTTTTATAACTTTTTCTTCTAGCGCGTCTACTTGATGGTTTCAAACGAGAAGGCTCTGGGCAAACCCATCAAAAATCCATGGTAAAATGGGCCCCGCGTTGAAATCTTCGGCGCTGAGGTGGGCGGCGTTGAAATGGGCGGCGCTAATTTTCCTTATTTGGTAAACCCCAAAACTTCAATGTGTGAAATGGCACGCTTTCTACCTTACTTATCAGCCTATGGAAAATAATTTAGACTGAATTAAACTGGTCTTGTTCAAAAAAACTCTTACTTGTTGGTTCCTCTTCCTCCTCCGGTTCCATGTAGGCATCGGCAAACGAGACGCGTTTCTTTTTCTTCGCGAGCGCAATTGATATATCTTCAGCGGTTATTTCCATATTCTCTGAGAACTCTTCTGTCAGTTCGGCATCCAGTGATTCTGATTCCTGGTCTTTCTCCAATGTAGTCGTCACGTCCGAGAAACTTACGCTCCCGGCCTCGAGTTCTGTTTCATCACTACTTGCGTCAAGAACGGCCTTCTTCTTTTTCGTTTTTTTCTTATCTTTAGATTCATCCTTCGTGGGCTCCTCTGACACCTTAACCTCGTTAGCCTTCTCGGCCTCTGCATCAGCCTTGGTCTTTGCTTCCTCTTCAGCCTTCTTCTTTGCGGCATCTTCATCAACTTTCTTCTTGGTCTTCTCTGTCTTCTTCTTCTCATCTTCACCCTTCTTGGCTTCCTCTGCTTTCTTAGCTTCCTCTTCCTTCTTGGACTCTTCATCAGCCTTGGCCTTTGCTTCCTCTTCGGCCTTCTTCTTTGCGGCTTCTTCATCGACCTTCTTCTTAGTCTTCTCCGTCTTCTTCTTCTCATCTTCGACCTTCTTGCCTTCCGCAGCCTTCTTGCCTTCCGCAGCCTTCTTGGCTTCCTCAGCCTTCTTGGCTTCCTCAGCCTTCTTGGCTTCCTCAGCCTTCTTGGCTTCCTCTGCTTTCTTAGCTTCTTCTTCCTTCTTGGCCTCTGCATCAGCCTTGGCCTTTGCTTCATCTCCAGCCTTCTTCTTTGCGGCATCTTCATCGACCTTCTTCTTAGTCTTCTCCGTCTTCTTCTCATCTTCGACCTTCTTGGCTTCCTCTGCTTTCTTAGCTTCTTCGGCCTTCTTGGCTTCCTCAGCTTTCTTGGCCTCTTCATCAGCCTTGGCCTTAGCTTCCTCTTCGGCCTTCTTCTTTGCGGCATCTTCATCGACCTTCTTCTTAGTCTTCTCCGTCTTCTTCTTCTCATCTTCGACCTTCTTGGCTTCTTCAGCCTTCTTGGCTTCCTCTGCTTTCTTAGCTTCTTGGGCCTTCTTGGCTTCCTCAGCTTTCTTGGCCTCTTCATCAGCCTTGGCCTTAGCTTCCTCTTCGGCCTTCTTCTTTGCGGCATCTTCATCGACCTTCTTCTTAGTCTTCTCCGTCTTCTTCTTCTCATCTTCGACCTTCTTGGCTTCTTCAGCCTTCTTGGCTTCCTCAGCTTTCTTGGCCCCTTCATCAGCCTTGGCCTTAGCTTCCTCTTCGGCCTTCTTCTTTGCGGCTTCTTCATCGACCTTCTTCTTAGTCTTCTCCGTCTTCTTCTTCTCATCTTCGACCTTCTTGCCTTCCGCAGCCTTCTTGGCTTCCTCAGCCTTCTTGGCTTCCTCTGCTTTCTTAGCTTCTTCTTCCTTCTTGGCCTCTGCATCAGCCTTGGCCTTTGCTTCATCTCCAGCCTTCTTCTTTGCGGCATCTTCATCGACCTTCTTCTTAGTCTTCTCCGTCTTCTTCTCATCTTCGACCTTCTTGGCTTCCTCTGCTTCTTAGCTTCTTCGGCCTTCTTGGCTTCCCTGCTTTCTTGGCCTCTTCATCAGCCTTGGCCTTAGCTTCCTCTTCGGCCTCTTCTTCGCGGCATCTTCATCGACCTTCTTCTTAGTCTTCTCCGTCTTCTTCTTCTCATCTTCGACCTTCTTGGCTTCTTCAGCCTTCTTGGCTTCCTCAGCTTTCTTGGCCTCTTCATCAGCCTTGGCCTTAGCTTCCTCTTCGGCCTTCTTCTTTGCGGCATCTTCATCGACCTTCTTCTTAGTCTTCTCCGTCTTCTTCTCATCTTCGACCTTCTTGGCTTCTTCAGCCTTCTTGGCTTCCTTTGCTTTCTTAGCTTCTTGGGCCTTCTTGGCTTCCTCAGCTTTCTTGGCCTCTTCATCAGCCTTGGCCTTAGCTTCCTCTTCGGCCTTCTTCTTTGCGGCATCTTCATCGACCTTCTTCTTAGTCTTCTCCGTCTTCTTCTCATCTTCGACCTTCTTCTCATCTTCGACCTTCTTGGCTTCCTCTGCTTTCTTAGCTTCTTCGGCCTTCTTGGCTTCCTCAGCTTTCTTGGCCTCTTCATCAGCCTTGGCCTTAGCTTCCTCTTCGGCCTTCTTCTTTGCGGCATCTTCATCGACCTTCTTCTTAGTCTTCTCCGTCTTCTTCTCATCTTCGACCTTCTTGGCTTCTTCAGCCTTCTTGGCTTCCTTTGCTTTCTTAGCTTCTTGGGCCTTCTTGGCTTCCTCAGCTTTCTTGGCCTCTTCATCAGCCTTGGCCTTAGCTTCCTCTTCGGCCTTCTTCGTTGCGGCATCTTCATCGACCTTCTTCTTAGTCTTCTCCGTCTTCTTCTCATCTTCGACCTTCTTGGCTTCTTCAGCCTTCTTGGCTTCCTCTGCTTTCTTAGCTTCTTGGGCCTTCTTGGCTTCTTCTTCCTTCTTGGCCTCTTCATCAGCCTTGGCCTTTGCTTCCCCTTCGGCCTTCTTCTTTGCGGCATCTTCATCGACCTTCTTCTTGGTCTGCTCCGTCTTCTTCTTCTCATCTTCGACCTTCTTGCCTTCCGCAGCCTTCATGGCTTCCTCAGCCTTCTTGGCTTCCTCTGCTTTCTTAGCTTCTTCTTCCTTCTTGGCCTCTGCATCAGCCTTGGCCTTTGCTTCATCTCCAGCCTTCTTCTTTGCGGCATCTTCATCGACCTTCTTCTTAGTCTTCTCCGTCTTCTTCTCATCTTCGACCTTCTTGGCTTCTTCAGCCTTCTTGGCTTCCTCTGCTTTCTTAGCTTCTTGGGCCTTCTTGGCTTCTTCTTCCTTCTTGGCCTCTGCATCAGCCTTGGCCTTTGCTTCATCTCCAGCCTTCTTCTTTGCGGCATCTTCATCGACCTTCTTCTTAGTCTTCTCCGTCTTCTTCTCATCTTCGACCTTCTTGGCTTCTTCAGCCTTCTTGGCTTCCTTTGCTTTCTTAGCTTCTTGGGCCTTCTTGGCTTCTTCTTCCTTCTTGGCCTCTTCATCAGCCTTGGCCTTTGCTTCCTCTTCGGCCTTCTTCTTTGCGGCTTCTTCATCGACCTTCTTCTTAGTCTTCTCCGTCTTCTTCTTCTCATCTTCGACCTTCTTGGCTTCTTCAGCCTTCTTGGCTTCCTCAGCTTTCTTGGCCCCTTCATCAGCCTTGGCCTTAGCTTCCTCTTCGGCCTTCTTCTTTGCGGCTTCTTCATCGACCTTCTTCTTAGTCTTCTCCGTCTTCTTCTTCTCATCTTCGACCTTCTTGCCTTCCGCAGCCTTCTTGGCTTCCTCAGCCTTCTTGGCTTCCTCTGCTTTCTTAGCTTCTTCTTCCTTCTTGGCCTCTGCATCAGCCTTGGCCTTTGCTTCATCTCCAGCCTTCTTCTTTGCGGCATCTTCATCGACCTTCTTCTTAGTCTTCTCCGTCTTCTTCTCATCTTCGACCTTCTTGGCTTCCTCTGCTTTCTTAGCTTCTTCGGCCTTCTTGGCTTCCTCAGCTTTCTTGGCCTCTTCATCAGCCTTGGCCTTAGCTTCCTCTTCGGCCTTCTTCTTCGCGGCATCTTCATCGACCTTCTTCTTAGTCTTCTCCGTCTTCTTCTTCTCATCTTCGACCTTCTTGGCTTCTTCAGCCTTCTTGGCTTCCTCAGCTTTCTTGGCCTCTTCATCAGCCTTGGCCTTAGCTTCCTCTTCGGCCTTCTTCTTTGCGGCATCTTCATCGACCTTCTTCTTAGTCTTCTCCGTCTTCTTCTCATCTTCGACCTTCTTGGCTTCTTCAGCCTTCTTGGCTTCCTTTGCTTTAGCTTCTTGGGCCTTCTTGGCTTCCTCAGCTTCTTGGCCTCTTCATCAGCCTTGGCCTTAGCTTCCTCTTCGGCCTTCTTCTTTGCGGCATCTTCATCGACCTTCTTCTTAGTCTTCTCCGTCTTCTTCTCATCTTCGACCTTCTTCTCATCTTCGACCTTCTTGGCTTCCTCTGCTTTCTTAGCTTCTTCGGCCTTCTTGGCTTCCTCAGCTTTCTTGGCCTCTTCATCAGCCTTGGCCTTAGCTTCCTCTTCGGCCTTCTTCTTTGCGGCATCTTCATCGACCTTCTTCTTAGTCTTCTCCGTCTTCTTCTCATCTTCGACCTTCTTGGCTTCTTCAGCCTTCTTGGCTTCCTTTGCTTTCTTAGCTTCTTGGGCCTTCTTGGCTTCCTCAGCTTTCTTGGCCTCTTCATCAGCCTTGGCCTTAGCTTCCTCTTCGGCCTTCTTCGTTGCGGCATCTTCATCGACCTTCTTCTTAGTCTTCTCCGTCTTCTTCTCATCTTCGACCTTCTTGGCTTCTTCAGCCTTCTTGGCTTCCCTGCTTCTTAGCTTCTTGGCCTTCTTGGCTTCTTCTTCCCTTCTTGGCCTCTTCATCAGCCTTGGCCTTTGCTTCCCTTCGGCCTTCTTCTTTGCGGCATCTTCATCGACCTTCTTCTTGGTCTGTCCGTCTTCTTCTTCTCATCTTCGACCTCTTGCCTTCCGCAGCCTTCATGGCTTCCCTCAGCCTTCTTGGCTTCCTCTGCTTTCTTAGCTTCTTCTTCCTTCTTGGCCTCTGCATCAGCCTTGGCCTTTGCTTCATCTCCAGCCTTCTTCTTTTGCGGCATCTTCATCGACCTTCTTCTTAGTCTTCTCCGTCTCTTCTTCTCATCTTCGACCTTCTTGGCTTCTTCAGCCTCTTGGCTTCCTCTGCTTTCTTAGCTTCTTGGGCCTTCTTGGCTTCTTCTTCCTCTTGGCCTCTGACAGCCTTGGCCTTTGCTTCATCTCCAGCCTTCTTCTTTGGGCATCTTCATCGACCTTCTTCTTAGTCTTCCGTCTTCTTCTCATCTTCGACCTTCTTGGCTTCTTCAGCCTTCTTGCTCCTTGCTTTCTTAGCTCTTGGGCCTTCTTGGCTCTCTTCCTTCTTGGCCTCTTCATCAGCCTTGGCCTTTGCTTCCTCTTCGGCCTTCTTCTTTGCGGCTTCTTCATCGACCTTCTTCTTAGTCTTCTCCGTCTTCTTCTTCTCATCTTCGACCTTCTTGGCTTCTTCAGCCTTCTTGGCTTCCTCAGCTTTCTTGGCCTCTTCATCAGCCTTGGCCTTAGCTTCCTCTTCGGCCTTCTTCTTTGCGGCATCTTCATCGACCTTCTTCTTAGTCTTCTCCGTCTTCTTCTCATCTTCGACCTTCTTGGCTTCTTCAGCCTTCTTGGCTTCCTCTGCTTTCTTAGCTTCTTGGGCCTTCTTGGCTTCCTCAGCTTTCTTGGCCTCTTCATCAGCCTTGGCCTTAGCTTCCTCTTCGGCCTTCTTCTTTGCGGCATCTTCATCGACCTTCTTCTTGGTCTGCTCCGTCTTCTTCTTCTCATCTTCGACCTTCTTGCCTTCCGCAGCCTTCTTGGCTTCCTCAGCCTTCTTGGCTTCCTCTGCTTTCTTAGTTTCTTCTTCCTTCTTGGCCTCTTCATCAGCCTTGGCCTTTGCTTCATCTCCAGCCTTCTTCTTTGCGGCATCTTCATCGACCTTCTTCTTAGTCTTCTCCGTCTGCTTCTTCTCATCTTCGACCTTCTTGGTTTCCTCTGCTTTCTTAGCTTCTTCGGCCTTCTTGGCTTCCTCAGCCTTCTTGGCTTCCTCTGCTTTCTTAGCTTCTTCTTCCTTCTTGGACTCTTCATCAGCCTTGGCCTTTGCTTCCTCTTCGGCCTTCTTCTTTGCGGCTTCTTCATCGACTTTCTTCTTAGTCTTCTCCGTCTTCTTCTTCTCATCTTCGACCTTCTTGGCTTCTTCAGCCTTCTTGGCTTCCTCTGCTTTCTTAGCTTCTTCTTCCTTCTTGGCCTCTGCATCAGCCTTGGCCTTTGCTTCATCTCCAGCCTTCTTCTTTGCGGCATCTTCATCGACCTTCTTCTTAGTCTTCTCCGTCTTCTTCTCATCTTCGACCTTCTTGGCTTCTTCAGCCTTCTTGGCTTCCTTTGCTTTCTTAGCTTCTTGGGCCTTCTTGGCTTCTTCTTCCTTCTTGGCCTCTTCATCAGCCTTGGCCTTTGCTTCCTCTTCGGCCTTCTTCTTTGCGGCTTCTTCATCGACCTTCTTCTTAGTCTTCTCCGTCTTCTTCTTCTCATCTTCGACCTTCTTGGCTTCTTCAGCCTTCTTGGCTTCCTCAGCTTTCTTGGCCTCTTCATCAGCCTTGGCCTTAGCTTCCTCTTCGGCCTTCTTCTTTGCGGCATCTTCATCGACCTTCTTCTTAGTCTTCTCCGTCTTCTTCTCATCTTCGACCTTCTTGGCTTCTTCAGCCTTCTTGGCTTCCTCTGCTTTCTTAGCTTCTTGGGCCTTCTTGGCTTCTTCTTCCTTCTTGGCCTCTTCATCAGCCTTGGCCTTTGCTTCCTCTTCGGCCTTCTTCTTTGCGGCATCTTCATCGACCTTCTTCTTGGTCTGCTCCGTCTTCTTCTTCTCATCTTCGACCTTCTTGCCTTCCGCAGCCTTCTTGGCTTCCTCAGCCTTCTTGGCTTCCTCTGCTTTCTTAGTTTCTTCTTCCTTCTTGGCCTCTTCATCAGCCTTGGCCTTTGCTTCATCTCCAGCCTTCTTCTTTGCGGCATCTTCATCGACCTTCTTCTTAGTCTTCTCCGTCTTCTTCTTCTCATTTTCGACCTTCTTGGTTTCCTCTGCTTTCTTAGCTTCTTCGGCCTTCTTGGCTTCCTCAGCCTTCTTGGCTTCCTCTGCTTTCTTAGCTTCTTCTTCCTTCTTGGACTCTTCATCAGCCTTGGCCTTTGCTTCCTCTTCGGCCTTCTTCTTTGCGGCATCTTCATCGACCTTCTTCTTAGTCTTCTCCGTCTTCTTCTTCTCATCTTCGACCTTCTTGGCTTCTTCAGCCTTCTTGGCTTCCTCTGCTTTCTTAGCTTCTTCGGCCTTCTTGCCTTCCTCAGCTTTCTTGGCCTCTTCATCAGCCTTGACCTTTGCTTCCTCTTCGGCCTTCTTCTTTGCGGCTTCTTCATCGACCTTCTTCTTAGTCTTCTCCGTCTTCTTCTTCTCATCTTCGACCTTCTTGGCTTCTTCAGCCTTCTTGGCTTCCTCTGCTTTCTTAGCTTCTTGGGCCTTCTTGGCTTCTTCTTCCTTCTTGGCCTCTTCATCAGCCTTGGCCTTTGCTTCCTCTTCGGCCTTCTTCTTTGCCGCATCTTCATCGACTTTCTTCTTGGTCTGCTCCGTCTTCTTCTTCTCATCTTCGACCTTCTTGGCTTCTTCAGCCTTCTTGGCTTCCTCTGCTTTCTTAGCTTCTTGGGCCTTCTTGGCTTCTTCTTCCTTCTTGGCCTCTGCATCAGCCTTGGCCTTTGCTTCATCTCCAACCTTCTTCTTTGCGGCATCTTCATCGACCTTCTTCTTAGTCTTCTCCGTCTTCTTCTTCTCATCTTCGACCTTCTTGGTTTCCTCTGCTTTCTTAGCTTCTTCGGCCTTCTTGGCTTCCTCAGCTTTCTTGGCTTCCTCAGCTTTCTTGGCCTCTTCATCAGCCTTGGCCTTTGCTTCCTCTTCGGCCTTCTTCTTTGCGGCTTCTTCATCGACCTTCTTCTTAGCCTTCTCCGTCTTCTTCTTCTCATCTTCGACCTTCTTGGTTTCCTCTGCTTTCTTAGCTTCTTCGGCCTTCTTGCCTTCCTCAGCTTTCTTGGCCTCTTCATCAGCCTTGACCTTTGCTTCCTCTTCGGCCTTCTTCTTTGCGGCATCTTCATCGACTTTCTTCTTGGTCTTCTCCGTCTTCTTCTTCTCATCTTCGACCTTCTTGGCTTCCTCAGCCTTCTTGGCTTCCTCTGCCTTCTTAGCTTCTTGGGCCTTTTTGGCTTCTTCTTCCTTCTTGGCCTCTGCATCAGCCTTGGCCTTTGCTATTCCAACCTCTCTTTGGGCATCTTCATCGACCTTGTTCTTAGTCTTCTCCGTCTTCTTCTTCTCATCTTCGACCTTCTTGGTTTCCTCTGCTTTCTTAGCTTCTTCGGCCTTCTTGGCTTCTTCTTCCTTCTTGGCCTCTGCATCAGCCTTGGTCTTTGCTTCCTCTTCGGCCTTCATCTTTGCGGCATCTTCATCGACTTTCTTCTTGGTCTTCTCCGTCTTCTTCTTCTCTTCTTCGCCCTTCTTGGCTTCCTCAGCTTTCTTAGCTTCTTCTTCCTTCTTTTCATTATCGAGCATTTTAGCTTCTTCTTTCTTGACCCCGGCGTCAGCCTTCTCCTTTGCTTCATCTTCAGCCTTCTTTGTTTTGGCATCTTTATCAACTTGCTTTGTGGCCTTCTCCGTCGGCTTCTGCTCATCTTCGACCTTCTTGGCCTCCTCAGGCTTTTTGACCTCTTCGATTTTCTTAGCATTATCAGCGTTTTTGGTTTCTTCATCAATCTTAAGATTCGCTGCTTGCTCAGCGTCAGTTTCTCTTGGCTCAGCTTCTGTATCACCTTTTCCAGTTTTCTTTTTGGTTTTCTTGACTTTCTTTTTTTCCTCACCTGTATTGTTACTTTCCTCAACTGTCTTCTCTTCGAATACAATGTTCTCTTCTACAGACACTTCAGAGGTGGTCGATTCAACTTTTTCTTCAAGTTCTTCCAGTGTAGTTTCGACATCAGTCTGGGCAAGCTCCGTTTCCTCAACGCTTTGCGTAAAATCTTCGATGTATTCACTATTATCCTCCAAAGTAATAATTTCGGCTTGATTACTCGGTGCTCCTTCACCGATGTTGTTTTCGGCGAGTATTCTGAAAGAATACATCTCCTCAGCTAATAGTTCTGTTATGACATGCTCAAAAGTATCTGAATCCACTTTTTGAATGTTTCTCCACCGAGAAATTTCACCAGCTTTTCTCTGAATAATGTAGTTTTTGATTGGATCTCCTTCTCCGTCTGGGGCTTCCCACTGCAATTTCACACTATCATAAGTCAGCTCGCTTGCTCGGAGATTTTTTGGGGCCAGTGGTGTGTCAATGATTTGCAATGTAAAACTAGCCTCGGTTTTTCCCACCGAATTTTGCAAAAAGATTGTGACATTCTTTTTGCCGGCTCTTCGTAAACTTCTGAAACGTAGAGAGGCATAGTCATCATACATGGTTACATCATAAGCTATGTCGGTCTCCAGGATTTTAATTTCCGGATGAGGATATGCAGCAAAATCGACTTGAAAATCAAATGGTTTGTTAGCTTGGCAAACCACGACTTTACCCGGAATGTCGTTTAAGATCAAGGGGGCGAAAGCAGCATCGACATTCACCTTTTCGCTTACAGCTTTATCGACGACACAATGATAGACACCGACTATGCTAGCAACAAAGCGATGGAAAGTTACAGTTGAGATGTTGTCCTGATTATTTTGGGTGATAATATCAGTCTTGGGGAGGACTAAATCGTTTCGATACCAAATGGCTTCTTCAATTGGATATTTCGTAACTAGACGCAGAATTGAGAGTTGAAGAGGATCACGAATCGTAAATCCTTCCGGTTCTTGCAGAATGAGCTGGACGCGTTCTGAAATCGAAAAATTTCAAAAAACTTCAAAAATGCATTGAAGTAAAAGGCTCTAATTTTGAACATTTGTTATGATATTTTCTGTTTTTTCTTAAAGGATAATGTTTAAATGAACTTTTGATAATTGATTCGATTTAATGAGTGGTAATTAGCCGTCTATAATATCGATTTTCAAAGTGCAAAAATGTTTTCAAAGTGCAAAACTTTTCAGGCACCTTGTATTGTTCTTGTATTTTGCTTTTCCACAAACCTTGTTCATCAGTCGTAACCTCCGCTACTGGTTCGTTGAAAATAGTTTTCCTCGCTTTAGCAGAGATCGATGATTTTTCCATCAAGATTATCTCTGTTTCATCTTTTTGAGCCAAACGCTGCTCATCGAAAAGTTTCGTCAACTTGGCTTCGGTGAACTGTTTTTGAATAGTGGCATCGCAAACCTATAAAACATAAAATTCACCGAAAGCTTTGAAAACGCACTTGTGAAATTATCATCGGTGCAATGGCAGCAATTTCCTCCTCTTCTTGCAGAGACTCCAAGATCACATCAACTTCCAGGAGATTTTCAATTGGTGTCGGCTCGTGAATGCTAAAATTATTGTCTTTCCTCCAAAATGGAAACGCCGGCGCTGCCTTCAAATTCATTTTCGTACTCTAGCTAGCTACAGGATGCCCAAATTTGCAAGAGCTTAAAAATGGGTGATAGATTTTTTTGATCCGGTTTTCGACGTCATTGATCTGTATTTACTATTTAGCCTTTTGAATCTTTAAAAAGTTCAAGGTTTTGTTATCCGAGAGTTGGCAAAACCTAAAAATTAAAGATTTTGCTTAAAAGGAAGCTCCTATTGAATTTGGAAAGTTTATGGTAACTGCTATCGTCTTTGTGTTGCTTTATTTAGATTGAAACTGTGACTCAGACTCTTCGAACCGTCAGAAAATACGGTACATCGAAATAAAACGTCAAGAAATACAGTACATTGGGACAAATTACCTGATCTCAGTTTCCTCAAAATCATAGAAATTCATATCGATGACTGCATCCGTTTTGGCCTCTTCTTCACCGGCTGAAATGTCCAACTCGACCAGCAGTCCATGCGTACCTAAAAGCGTTTGCAAATGAGATTTGATGTAGTTGTTTAAAAAGTCAACAGTTTTGTTACTGTTTTAGAATTTTGCCCTTAGAAAACGATACAAATCAATAAAATGACTGTGGTAGTTAAAAAGTCAAGTTTGATTCTGATTCGGATTTACAAATTCATTGTTATACTTACCATTAGAGGTCAAAAAAACTATACAGTACGGTAATTCATTTATCTATATTTTTATTATCGAGTAACTTACCAGAGTTCGTTCGCTCTCTAGACACTGTCACATCGAGACTTCCTTGGCTTTCCTTTCTTTCCGTCGCTTTATCGCTCTTCTTCTTCTTCTTCTTTCGTTTTTCTTTGCTTTCCTCGCCAAACATTGTCATATCTTCCGTTGGTGATTTGATATTTAGTACAGGAGATAAAAGCGATTCCTCGACATCATTGGTTTGACTCTCTTCAAATTCCGACGGCTCCTAAAGATTTTCAGAAACTACCGTAATCTTTTTCAATTTTTTCGTTCTACTTAACACTAACTACTTAACGTTCTACTTATCACACTCAATTCATTGTTTAATTCCCCACCGAATGAAACCGAAATTAAATATGTCGGATAAAGTCCAGAAACAGAATACGGAAGTTTTCAAAATCATTCGTCTTTTAGAAACTTTAATGAAAACGGCTCAACGGATCTGTCTGAGAATCTTACCAGTTATAGAGTCGAATCTGCTTTAAATTTTCCCCTTTGGCACCAAAATTGATCTAATGGAAGAAAGTCTCTTTAAACCTGATTTTGATTACTCTACTTGTAGTCCATAAAAAACTCAAGATCTTGAAAATTGCTTTAAGATCATTTTGAACAGACATCATTGAGTTTTTAATCAAACCAACCGTACGTACAAGAAAATTAAAGTAAAATAAAGCACACTTTTGGGAAGAGCTAATACTATTGATACCCCAATCATAACCTTTTAATAACTCAACTTATCGTTTAAATTAAACCACTTACCTCTCTTAGTTCACCTTTCCCAAACACAAAACCGACACCGATCCTTTCCGTTCGTTGCTTTGTAAAATGCGCTTTACAGAAACACTCTTCTAGTGTAGGAGCGAAAGTTTTTAGAATCACCATCTTTGAGTTGGGTATTCTAGCCAATAGGTGTGTTTCCTCAGATGTGCTCTTTGAGCTCGTTAATTCACAACCAATAACGATTGAAAGCTCCTCTTTTTGCGGTATAGACATTTTACGTTCGAATTTTGTCGCCGAATGCACTGCCATCACAACGCATTCGATTGTTTCCTCAAACAACATCGCCTCCACCTTACTTATTTCCTCGCGCTTAACCAAGATTCTATCATACAAAATCTCTGAACCGCCCTTTATTTCATGTTTAACCGATTTCTCCGTAAGCTCGTCAGCTTTCTTTCTCCTCCCGGTTTTCCTCTCCTCCGACTCACCCTTCTTGGCTTCCTCAATTCCTTCCTTAGCCTCCTCATCGGCTGCTGCCTTTGCATCTTCTTCAGCCTTCTTCTTTGTAGCTTCTTCGTCGGTCTTCTTCGTTTTGTCGGCTTTCTTTTTCTCGGCTTCAGATTTCTTGGCCTCCTCAGCCTGTTTCTTGGCCTCCTCAGCCTGCTTCTTAGCCTCCTCATCGGCTGCTGCCTTTGCTTCTTCCTCAGCCTTCTTCTTTGCAGCTTCTTCGTCGGTCTTCTTCGTTTTGTCGGCTTTCTTTTTCTCGGCTTCAGATTTCTTGGCTTCCTCCGCTTGCTTCTTGGCCTCCTCAGCTTGCTTCTTGGCCTCCTCATCGGCTACTGCCTTTGCTTCTTCCTCAGCCTTCTTCTTTGCAGCTTCTTCGTCGGTCTTCTTCGTTTTGTCGGCTTTCTTTTTCTCGGCTTCAGATTTCTTGGCTTCCTCAGCTTGCTTCTTGGCCTCCTCATCGGCTACTGCCTTTGCTTCTTCCTCAGCCTTCTTCTTTGTAGCTTCTTCGTCCGTCTTCTTCGTTTTGTCGGCTTTCTTTTTCTCGGCTTCAGATTTCTTGGCTTCCTCAGCCTGCTTCTTGGCATCCTCAGCCTGCTTCTTGGCTACCTCAGCCTGCGTCTTAGCCTCCTCATCGGCTACTACCTTTGCTTCTTCCTCAGCCTTCTTCTTTGCAGCTTCTTCGTCGGTCTTCTTGGTTTTGTCGGCTCTCTTTTTCTCGGTTTCAGATTTCTTGGCTTCCTCCGCTTTCTTCTTGGCATCCTCAGCCTGCTTCTTAGCCTCCTCATCGGCTACTGCCTTTGCTTCTTCTTCAGCCTTCTTCTTTGCAGCTTCTTCGTCGGTCTTCTTCGTTTTGTCGGCTTTCTTTTTCTCGGCTTCAGATTTCTTGGCTTCCTCAGCCTGCGTCTTAGCCTCCTCATCGGCTACTGCCTTTGCTTCTTCTTCAGCCTTCTTCTTTGCAGCTTCTTCGTCGGTCTTCTTGGTTTTGTCGGCTTTCTTTTTCTCGGCTTCAGATTTCTTGGCTTCCTCAGCCTGCTTCTTGGCCTCCTCAGCCTGCTTTTGGCCCCACCTGGCAGCGGTCTTAGCCTCCTCATCGGCTACCGCCTTTGCTTCTTCTTCAGCCTTCTTCTTTGCAGCTTCTTCGTCGGTCTTCTTGGTTTTGTCGGCTTTCTTTTTCTCGGCTTCAGATTTCTTGGCTTCCTCCGCCTGCTTCTTGGCATCCTCAGCCTGCTTCTTAGCCTCCTCATCGGCTACTGCCTTTGCTTCTTCTTCAGCCTTCTTCTTTGCAGCTTCTTCGTCGGTCTTCTTGGTTTTGTCGGCTTTCTTTTTCTCGGCTTCAGATTTCTTGGCTTCCTCAGCCTGCTTCTTAGCCTCCTCATCGGCTACTGCCTTTGCTTCTTCTTCAGCCTTCTTCTTTGCAGCTTCTTCGTCGGTCTTCTTGGTTTTGTCGGCTTTCTTTTTCTCGGCTTCAGATTTCTTGGCTTCCTCAGCCTGCTTCTTGGCATCCTCAGCCTGCTTTCCTCAGCCTGCCTTGGCACCTCAGCCTGGTCTTAGCCTCCTCATCGGCTACCGCCTTTGCTTCTTCTTCAGCCTTCTTCTTTGCAGCTTCTTCGTCGGTCTTCTTGGTTTTGTCGGCTTTCTTTTTCTCGGCTTCAGATTTCTTGGCTTCCTCAGCCTGCTTCTTGGCAACCTCAGCCTGCTTCTTGGCTTCCTCAGCCTGCTTCTTAGCCTCCTCATCGGCTACTGCCTTTGCTTCTTCCTCAGCCTTCTTCTTTGCAGCTTCTTCATCGGTCTTCTTGGTTTTGTCGGCTTTCTTTTTCTCGGCTTCAGATTTCTTGGCTTCCTCAGCCTGCTTCTTAGCCTCCTCAGCCTGCTTCTTAGCCTCCTCCTCGGCTACTGCCTTTGCTTCTTCCTCAGCCTTCTTCTTTACAGCTTCTTCGTCGGTCTTCTTGGTTTTGTCGGCTTTCCTTTTCTCGGCTTCAGATTTCTTGGCTTCCTCAGCCTGCTTCTTGGCCTCCTCAGCCTGCTTCTTAGCCTCCTCCTCGGCTACTGCCTTTGCTTCTTCCTCAGCCTTCTTCTTTGCAGCTTCTTCGTCGGTTTTCTTGGTTTTGTCAGCTTTCTTTTTCTCAGCTTCAGATTTCTTGGCTTCTTCAGCCTGCTTCTTAGCCTCCTCATCGGCTACTGCCTTTGCTTCTTCTTCAGCCTTCTTCTTTGCATCTTCTTCGTCGGTTTTCTTGGTTTTGTCAGCTTTCTTTTTCTCGGCTTCACATTTCTTGGCTTCCTCAGCCTGCTTCTTGGCATCCTCAGCCTGCTTCTTGGCATCCTCAGCCGCTCTTGGCCCCTCAGCCTGTAGCCTCCTCAGCCTGCTTCTTAGCCTCCTCATCGGCTACTGCCTTTGCTTCTTCTTCAGCCTTCTTCTTTGCAGCTTCTTCGTCGGTTTTCTTGGTTTTGTCAGCTTTCTTTTTCTCGGCTTCAGATTTCTTGGCTTCCTCAGCCTGCTTCTTAGCCTCCTCATCGGCTGCTGCCTTTGCTTCTTCTTCAGCCTTCTTCTTTGCATCTTCTTCGTCGGTCTTCTTGGTTTTGTCGGCTTTCTTTTTCTCGGCTTCAGCTTTCTTGGCTTCCTCAGCCTGCTTCTTGGCCTCCTCATCGGCTGCTGCCTTTGCTTCTTCTTCAGCCTTCTTCTTTGCAGCTTCTTCGTCGGTTTTCTTGGTTTTGTCAGCTTTCTTTTTCTCGGCTTCAGATTTCTTGGCTTCCTCAGCCTGCTTCTTAGCCTCCTCATCGGCTACCGCCTTTGCTTCTTCTTCAGCCTTCTTCTTTGCAGCTTCTTCGTCGGTCTTCTTGGTTTTGTCGGCTTTCTTTTTCTCGGCTTCAGATTTCTTGGCTTCCTCAGCCTGCTTCTTGGCATCCTCAGCCTGCCTCTTAGCCTCCTCATCGGCTACTGCTTTTGCTTCTTCTTCAGCCTTCTTCTTTGCAGCTTCTTCGTCGGTTTTCTTGGTTTTGTCAGCTTTCTTTTTCTCGGCTTCAGATTTCTTGGCTTCCTCAGCCTGCTTCTTGGCATCCTCAGCCTGCTTCTTAGCCTCCTCATCGGCTACTGCCTTTGCTTCTTCTTCAGCCTTCTTCTTTGCAGCTTCTTCGTCGGTTTTCTTGGTTTTGTCAGCTTTCTTTTTCTCGGCTTCAGATTTCTTGGCTTCCTCAGCCTGCTTCTTGGCCTCCTCATCGGCTACCGCCTTTGCTTCTTCTTCAGCCTTCTTCTTTGCAGCTTCTTCGTCGGTCTTCTTGGTTTTGTCGGCTTTCTTTTTCTCGGCTTCAGATTTCTTGGCTTCCTCAGCCTGCTTCTTAGCCTCCTCATCGGCCACTGCCTTTGCTTCTTCTTCAGCCTTCTTCTTTGCATCTTCTTCGTCGGTCTTCTTGGTTTTGTCGGCTTTCTTTTTCTCGGCTTCAGATTTCTTGGCTTCCTCAGCCTGCTTCTTGGCCTCCTCAGCCTGCTTCTTAGCCTCCTCATCGGCTACTGCTTTTGCTTCTTCTTCAGCCTTCTTCTTTGCAGCTTCTTCGTCGGTTTTCTTGGTTTTGTCAGCTTTCTTTTTCTCGGCTTCAGATTTCTTGGCTTCCTCAGCCTGCTTCTTAGCCTCCTCATCGGCTACTGCCTTTGCTTCTTCTTCAGCCTTCTTCTTTGCGGCTTCTTCGTCGGTTTTCTTGGTTTTGTCAGCTTTCTTTTTCTCGGCTTCAGATTTCTTGGCTTCCTCAGCCTGCTTCTTGGCATCCTCAGCCTGCTTCTTGGCCTCTTCAGCCTGCTTCTTAGCCTCCTCATCGGCTACTGCCTTTGCTTCTTCTTCAGCCTTCTTCTTTGCAGCTTCTTCGTCGGTTTTCTTGGTTTTGTCAGCTTTCTTTTTCTCGGCTTCAGATTTCTTGGCTTCCTCAGCCTGCTTCTTAGCCTCCTCAGCCTGCTTCTTAGCCTCCTCATCGGCTACTGCCTTTGCTTCTTCTTCAGCCTTCTTCTTTGCAGCTTCTTCGTCGGTCTTCTTGGTTTTGTCAGCTTTCTTTTTCTCGGCTTCAGATTTCTTGCCTTCCTCCGCCTGCTTCTTAGCCTCCTCATCGGCTACTGCCTTTGCTTCTTCTTCAGCCTTCTTCTTTGCAGCTTCTTCGTCGGTTTTCTTGGTTTTGTCAGCTTTCTTTTTCTCGGCTTCAGATTTCTTGCCTTCCTCCGCTTGCTTCTTAGCCTCCTCATCGGCTACTGCCTTTGCTTCTTCTTCAGCCTTCTTCTTTGCAGCTTCTTCGTCGGTCTTCTTGGTTTTGTCGGCTTTCTTTTTCTCGGCTTCAGATTTCTTGGCATCATCAGCCGTCTTGGCCTCCCAGCGCTTGGCACCTCAGCCTGTTCTTGGCCTCCTCAGCCTGCTTCTTAGCCTCCTCATCGGCTACTGCCTTTGCTTCTTCTTCAGCCTTCTTCTTTGCAGCTTCTTCGTCGGTTTTCTTGGTTTTGTCGGCTTTCTTTTTCTCGGCTTCAGATTTCTTGGCATCCTCAGCCTGCTTCTTGGCCTCCTCAGCCTGCTCCTTGGCATCATCAGCCTGCTTCTTGGCATCCTCAGCCTGCTTCTTAGCCTCCTCATCGGCTACTGCTTTTGCTTCTTCTTCAGCCTTCTTCTTTGCAGCTTCTTCGTCGGTTTTCTTGGTTTTGTCAGCTTTCTTTTTCTCGGCTTCAGATTTCTTGGCTTCCTCAGCCTGCTTCTTGGCATCCTCAGCCTGCTTCTTAGCCTCCTCATCGGCTACTGCCTTTGCTTCTTCTTCAGCCTTCTTCTTTGCAGCTTCTTCGTCGGTTTTCTTGGTTTTGACAGCTTTCTTTT